CAGAAGAGCTCATCAGGCCCTTCGTGACTACAGTATACGTGTGACACTACGGTGAGTGAGTGAGTTTAACTTTAACGTCGCAACAGCATTATTTCAGCCATATGGCGACAAGACCAAGTTGATATATTCACAAGTAAGCCATGAATGCAAAGCATATTTGGGCACAACAATATCATTTCACAGTTTAAAACACGAGCTATGGGCCATCAGTAACCAAAGCTAGGCCACCTCGCTGGGGATCATGGGGACTTACATTGCCTCTGCTTCCTGCTCGATACTCCAGCAGGATTTAGGTCATCACTTTACCTGCAGGTGGTTGTGCTTAATACTAGCTAATATTAAGAAATATTCAGCAATGAGTTGACTTAAAACACTGGTTGATGATAGTTACATGAGTTATGATGCGACTTACGTGTCACATACAGGGACAAGTGACACTATAGTGTTAATGATATAACTGAAGGGACTGACACCATACATAAACCAGTCACAAGTTAATTGCTTTTTGCACATGATACTCAATGCCTACAAATGAAAGTTTCTTTTTCATATTATTGACCACTAGAGAAATATTAATGTGAATTTAAAGATCACTGGGCCATAGTACTGTGTCCATGATCAAGTAGCATAATAATCAACATACAATAATTACTCTACTTGGGCACTTTGTTGTGGTGACCCGAAGCAACCCTCTATTTGTGTCATCAAGTGTCTGATGTTGAAATGGTGTATCTTTACAAGTACTGGTTTGTCTCACAGACTTGGATGTTGAGTTCTACCCCTGTTGACATTTTACTGAGCCTGTCAAAGTTACTCCTCAGCTTACTTGGAGGTTAGAGTGGGCAATGGAAACAGGGAGACCTTGTTAAACTGGACACTACAAGACACCGCTGCCAAGGAGAAGAAACCAAGAGGATCATGTTCTGAATTCAACTCATTTAGGGCACATTCTTGATAGTTCAAATTCAATGCATAAATGCCTTAGGGGAACTTATTTTCATATCGCTCTTACAAAACAGAACTTTTGATATCTCAAGACATCAGTGATATACAAACTCATGTCACTGTCAAGCCAAATCAAAATGATTAGAATGCCAGGACACAAATTCTGTGAGAATACTGATGGAGTCATGTGCTTGTATTGGGGGTGGATATGCAGTAGAGCAATGTGTTAACAAGCATATTTTCTCTGCAAGTCTCCTCTTGCATCCTAGACCTTTGGCCCTATATTTAATACAGTGTTGTTATAAATTCTGTGAAATATTTCACATTTTGGTTTTGATAACATCAGTAGGTGTTCTATGGCTGATAAGCCTGTTGGCAAAATTATATTTTGTTTTGTTGGATATCATATGAGGCTTCGAAAGTAAAACACATTTTTATTTTGTATCACATTGTTTTTCTTGAATTCAAAACGTCAGTGCCAGAGAATAATCAGTCTCAAAGGTGCCGATTTCATAGGTCCTAAAAGGCAAAATAATAATAAAAGATCATAATAGATCACCGAAAATCAGTGATGACACCAGGTGTTTATGAAAGGGTAAGCATGTCCTACTTTATTGGTAGCATTTGTGTTTAAATTTGAATTTAAAGTAGCATGAAAAATTCAATTAAATGGCAGACGCTTTTGAAAGATATTCTGGCAGAAACAAGAAGTATGTGTGCTCTAAATTAGTTGAATGCAGTCAGGAGGTTACTTCACAGAAGACAAGTGTCCAGTTTACCAAAGTCTCCCTGGCTCCTCCTCATGGTGTTTGTGTGTCATCTTCAAATCAAGAGTCAGAAACAGCTCTGTATGAGCAGATTTGGCACATCTTTCAAAGGCTGATTAACGATTGGATTCCAAACAGAACGGTAATAATGTATGTCGACTTCACAGAATATCTTTGCGGAAATATCACATATGATATGTTTTTTTGGCCTCCCACCATAAAAAAATATGTATACCCTAAGGAGAATTTGGAAAATAATTGAATACAACTTATTGTAATTTGATACATTTTTTTCTTCAAAATGGAATCTAATAAAATCAGTTGTAGATGCCAAAATCAGCATGACTTCTTCTAATGGCGCCAATTCTACTTTTGAAGTCCACTTTGGAGAAAAATCAATATCAATTAGCAAACACCTTGATGTCACATGTTTCTAAATTGCTCAAATGAATATTGTGCATTTATTCTACTCCTGGGAAAGCTGAGGGTTAACTAGTCCTAGGGAAGTTTCTATTTTCACCCTCTTTGCCTTCCTACAGTCTTTTCCTGGCTTTTGGATGAAGTCATCGACCCAGGTAATTGACAGCTGTCTGTCACAGGTTGCCATGGTAACCACTAACACTGCACAGACCACATGACTAATGTTCTGGTTTCCATGACAATGTTTTTCAGCAAACTCGGGCACTGATGCATGGTCTGATCACTTGGGCACGGGAACCGATACATCTTAATTGATTCAAATATTCTCAGAGTATTGATTTTGATGGAAAATTGCTGGCTTTGCAAAAGTTAAAGAGCAAACCGTGATTGAATGATGCACCCGATTATTGGGTTTATTGACCTTTGACCAATTATTGATCTGCGATGGTGTGAAGGCATACAGAACTACATCTCCTTACTCTGAATCAGTCATAGAGTTTCCTCAAATACAGTGCTGCCACTTTGATGTTTGGAAATCTCATATGCCTAGGCTTGGCAAATATTTATCCCTAGTTATGGAATCAGAGACACTGGCATATCCTGGAATCCTCTTTCTGAAGGATCATATTCGAGGAATATTTACACTGGAATATAGGATTTGGCTTCAAATGGCTTTTGCGTTTTTCAAAATCCAACTCTTTGGATGTCTAATTCAATGAAATCTTACTTGAATTATCTTGCAGTCTTTTTTGTATTCAGTCGCATTGCTGTTTTAGATATTTGAAACGTTTTTGATACTGAAATGATAAAATAGTTGATATTCTAACCTCCTGGTAATTGATATTCCCTTGAATGGACATGGGGTCATAATCCTCATATATCTGATGATACTCTGAATGCCAATTTCTACATTATCTCATAAAATCATAAAAGTGAGTCTCTTGCGTGTTTACATATATACTAGTATATCATTTTAATGTCTAGAATTCCTGACAGTGAGTGACTAGACTTTTGAATAGAATACACAGTGTGTCAGGTTAATGTTAGAGAAGGCCATTAGTGATGAAGGTCATAGATGTTTACAACTTTGGGTCAAATTTAGCATTTCTTCAAATATGGAATCGACTGCATTAGTTCTGAAAGTACAAAACTGTTCATGATCAAATAACTGAGTTTATGTTTATTTTTCAAGGCAGCCAGGACAATTTCTAATTTCAATAGATCTTTGCTAGATATAACTGAACTAGGTCAGTTAAGCTTTTTTTTTATAAAAACAACCCACTCTGGCAACAAATGATGACATTTTGTAAGCCTGTATAAGCATGTCTGTTAGTTTGCCCATATATGGAATTTATTACATACAGGCTTACTAGATTACAGTGTTTGTTGCTTACTGAAGCTGGATTAAATATTTAATATGTCAGTCAGTCAGTCAGTCAGTCAGTCGCAAGCAGGATTACTTGGCTTAAAAATCAATAAACCCACATCAGGCTGCTTTGGAGTAATCTTACAAGTTTTCATGTTTGCGTGGTATTTGTTTAATTTTTTTCTCGAAACTTAACACTGTCATTCTCAAATAAATTAAATGTATTCTATTTCTGGTTTGCTGATTATTCCTATGGCCTTGTTGTGCACATTGCCTGACCAGGGAGATCTGAATACATCATAGATCAGTGGAGAACAATGCTTAAACAATAGTTAAACAATGCTGAAACAATGGTGTGGGATGATTTAGTTACAGTGTATCACAGTGAAACACAACACACACATCTATCACAAGCACTATCAGTGCATCATTTTGTCAACACTAATTATGATGTCAAGAATGATTATTATCTTTATTTAAGTTCCCTAATTCATAGCTTACTCAAAATGTGGACACAATCAACATTTAATGTCATGTTAATTTAGTTAGATTAATTTAAAAGGTTTAGTGCCTTGTTCTCGTTTGTAAAGATAGATCCACTGCCTGCTGCATTATAGAAAGTGTAGGATATATATAGCCCTTATCATATGAGTGAATGTTGTCTTATGTCAGAGCCAGCAATCAACCAGCTATTTTACAGCAGCCTGTACATAATAAAATCTGTACTAGGTAAACAAGTGGTTGATAGCACAAGCTCTTCACACAAGGATAGGAACTGTCAGGGTACAATGACACACAATTAGCCAGGTTACATTCTGACCACCTTATCCCTGCTTTAGTCAGTGAGTGAGTGAGTTGGGTTTAACGCCGCTTTTAACAGTATTCCAGTTATATCACGGAGTGTCAGCTTGATGTGGGAGGAAATCCCGAAGTGATGCAAGTCTCAGACGTTTACTTCTTCGGTGAAACCCACGAGCACGGGTATGGTGCAGACAAACCTAGAAACATAATCGGGGCGAACCGGGATTCGAACCTACAATCATAGGTTTCTGGCGTGTCCAAGGGACAAAACTCTGCACAGCAAATCGTGGCGCCTTAGACAACTGGGCCACCCATGCCCCTTCCTTGCTTTAGTCAGCTGTTTGACAAGCATAGGGTATTGAGGAGATGGTCTTTCCCAGACTACCCGAGGTGTATCTTATCACATACAGAAAAGCAATAATCATTTATGACTACATTACATTACTTTTTAAATTTTGTCAAATTGATTTTTTTAAATGAGTACACATATCTTTTTTTCAATTCTTTTTTTAGAAAATGAAATATTTGTAAACTTAGTGTTCATGATTTGTGTCATACATTAAGAGTACCAATTATTCATCAAACTTTTCCAATATCTTTGCTGTATTCAGATTTTGCTGATATGTTTATGTTATCTAGTTTATGCACAGATGTTTATAAAGAAAGGGATTTCATCATTCTGTTCTTTTTTGACTAATCAGGCGCTCAGCTGGAAGTGTTCAATGACCAGGCAGAGGTTTTGATAGGTGGAAAACGAGACAAAGATGGGAACCTCATCAAACCCTTCGAAGGAACAATATCAGGTAAGATGTGACAGAATGATTATATACTGAGACACTGAGGTGAGAGTGAGTGAGTGTTTTTTAACACCACAGTTAGCACTATTTTAGATATTCAATTTACACAATGGTATAAATGTGCTGTCGTTTTACAGAGAGAGCTCAGTTGTCTGAAGAAAACATAACTCTTGATTAGGTACCACCAATGTTTTCAAGATACAGAAATTCTGCAATACCAACTGGATAAGTTACATGAAGTCAACATTGTATAATCTCCATGGAAACCTAAAGAAAGTTTACCCAAATAAAATATATATTGATAATTTGCATATGATTGCATGGTCCCTTTTCATTATTTCTTTGATATTTACTTACTGATAAATATTGGTGATGTCTTTTTGTGCAAATATAGCGACAAAACCCTTTCCATATCCAATAGAAATCTCTGCATAAAGCAGAGTCGATTGTACAATTCCAACTATATCATGAATCACTATATAACAGTAATGATACCAGGTGTTTGCAAAAAGGTGAGCGTGTCCTTCCCTACCAGTGGCACTCATCACAAATACATGCAAAGGCAAGTCAATTGTTCACCCGAAAAAATATGGGAACATATGGTTCAAGTCAAAATAGGGAATTGCATCGGATATCATTTTTGTCACTGATGGGTAAATGTCTTTGAAAGCTTTACTGAGGCCTTGAAAGTTGAGCTAGAGTCATATGACACTCTTTGAAACCTTGGTAGAAAGAGCATGTATCTCAAAAGTTGCGAAATGTAAACACCAAAGGCTGGAGCTGCTGGAATATTGCTCAACATGAAGGGAAAGTTGACTATTGGAAAGTTGAAGTTGTCCCTCTTATCATACAGTCTTGTATGAAGATATGAGGTGAAATGGGGTTTAACGCCGTGTCCAAGATTATTGCACTTATATAGCGACGTGCATGTACGTGTGTGTGTTTGTGTGGCTGCTTGTACTAGTCCGCACTGAGGCCGATTTATAGTGCTAGCTCACTGAGATACCATGCCGCAGTTTAACATGAATACCCCACTCAGACACAGTATACTGACCCCGAGCCGACCAGTCCTCGTTTTAGCCCCTTAATGCCGAGCGCCAGACAGGGTTACTACAAGTACCATCTTTTAACGTCTTTTGGTATGACGCGGTCGGGGATCGAACCCCGGACCTTTCGCTCTCCGGTCAGCCGCTCTACCACTAGACCACGGAGGCGGTTGTATGAAGATATGAGAATGAGCCATGAGAATGGATGAAGGTTGTGAAATTGGCACCTGCTATATCATTCATAGGGTCTATTAAAACTTAGGAAGATATGTATTACCAGCACATAGAAGATTCATCACAAAATATGTTATTGATATGGGAAATATGAACCAGTTGTCAGGAGATTGGTAGTAGTTAAGTCTATTCTTAGACTGATGACACCTGAATTATTGATGCAATACCTACGATAGGTTGATTTAAAAAATGAAGCGACAAAACCCTTTCAGTAGAGAATTGTATGTGCACAAAGTGATGATCTCATGGCATCTAGTCCATCAGTCCATAGACTAGTTAAAATCTTGAATGACTAATTATTTTCCCCTCCGATTTAGTTTCGGTATACATGTATTACGATATTCATCCCAAGTCTGCAGGAATTGTCAGGAAACTCCAAAACTGGAATACAAGAAATCCCTAATTATGTGGCATTGTGCAGTTGACTTGTATGTCCATGATAACAGTACCAATAAAGAGGAAGGTGAATTTTGTATTGAATGCAATGTTAAAATACTAAATAATTTTTAATATTAACTTTTGTGAAATCCCAATTTGCCTGCCAAGGGCGCTTTGTTTGAAACTCCAGATAAATCATTGCTCTTATCATGGCCGAGTATCATGATACACTGAGCATTATTTGAATGTGTACATCCCAAGCTGTTGTTTGACATTATATTGTTTAATATTACAATGTAACTGCTATTGCTGTGAACATTGCTCTCAAAGGAAACCTCTGGGTTTTGTTAGGTATATTGGGTGTGTGTGGGGTGGGCAGTTTTAGTTTAAATGCAAAGAAAAGAATAATGAACTGAAGACATACACCCAATCTGTTTTTCATTTCACATTTTGTGTAATGGTGGGCTCAAAACTTAGTACAAACAATACCAACAAATTTTCATTACAGAAAATGGGCCACCTATCATCATATTAAACCAGTATTGGTCAAATCAATAACCGGTAGATTCATTCACAAACTCTCATTGACCTACTTGTGATTCTTTGATCAAAGTTACCCAATTCAGCTGATAGAAATTACCGGACGCAAGTGTCCTTCAGCGCCGACAAGAAGGTCAAATCAAGAAAGTTGAATGGAAAATGTATTGATCCCTTCCAAGTATACTGGATGACAGATTTTAATCTGGTTCATATTGAGAAGTGTCATATGCATTCTCTTTTTCTTTATATGTAATGGTTATTTGGCTGAATTAACCCATTAAGATCTGGGTTAGAATAGGTCTTCAGCAACCCATGCTTGCCGTGAAAGGCGACTGTGCTTGTCGTAAGAGGCGACTAACGGGATCGGGTAGGCAGACTCCGTGACCTGGTTGATGTCATCATATCCCAATTGCAAAGATCAGTGCGCATATCAATCACTGGATTGTTTGATCCAGATTTGATTATTAAAGACTGCCATCATAGCTGGAATATGGCTGAGTGTGGTGTTAAACAACAAACAAATATATGGCTGAATTATAAATACTGTTTAGTAATGCCCAACACCATTATGCTTTCATTTGTAAAAATAATGCATTTTATTCACAAATCTCGCTGCCAGATATGCCATTCAAAAGTCCCTGATATGTTACTAAATGTTATTTTGCAAATACTGTATTAGAATCTTTCTTTGTCATGAAAATAATAGAATATATTAACAGTCAGTTATAAAGGAGACCTTAATAATATGGTCACATGGTCCTGTAGGCCTTTCTACTACGTACCAGTCAGTGGATAAATTATTTTGTAACACAAAACCACCCATCAGTGGTTTACAATTATGTTTCAAGCTTCAAATGACACTTTTAGGTTTTTCTTGTAATCTGAAATATTGCTAAAGGCTAATTAACCATCGACCTTGACTTAAGCAACTAGCTCCTGCTGAGCTGTCGGGGGGAGCTGTTGATGCATGCTTGACCCATCTGTCACAGTAAGCATTCAAGTTAGAACTCTAAGTTCTGTTTAGAACTTTTCTCTGTGTGTTTGCTTATCATATGTGAAGTTCAACGTTTGGAGTAACAGATGATCTCAACCTTCTTGATAATATAAATATTACATGCATCAAAGTTTTGTAAGTGAACAGCATACCCAAAGATATTGGATTCATTTATCATTGTTTGACAAACAATACTAAACAACACAAGGGAATTGTCATTTTTCTCACATAATTCTTTTTGCAATATTTATGACATTGGGTTATTTTCAAAAGAACAAAACAGTGTTGCTCACATTTTAAGATGTGAAAAGTGGTAATGTCTGAAACTAGCAGTTGTTGTTACTCTGAAATATTAGGTAATATTTTGTTGTCTATAATTTGTGAATAAGAGATTTCTTAAGAGTAAGTTGAAATACAATTGATTTGTCATGATATAAGGCTAAAACTGTTTAAGATGTGTGCTGTTTATACTGTCAAGACAGTAACACCTAAAAAAAAATACTTTAACATTCTTCTTCTTCTTTTTTTGGTATAAGTACAAAATAAACACATCATATATATAAAGTGAAATTATATGAAATATTTAAAGAAAAATTAAGATAGAGGCAGGCTTAAACAGTTTTCTGTTGCCTCTTCCAAAAACACATATATTGCAGTGATTGATTGTTTAGAATAGCAACTTTTGTTCAGTCTGCAACTAGAACATGAACTATCACATAGAAGGTAATAGACACCCTAGCTTTTTCTATGTCAGAAAATAACTGGCATTCACAGGTAACAAACACTGCATCGATGAAATAATACAAACTTATTTCATTTGTGTTATTTCCCACAACAGATGTCCAACTATTGCACATTATCTTTTCACAATACCATGGACTTCAATGGCATGAAGTCACATAAGTATACAGAGATATCAATAAAATATTGATGACATTGTGCAAGGCAGATATCAGTTGAAGTAAATTGCAAAAATTGAACAACGTTATTGATTTATGTTTGTGTGCAAATTGGAAAAATAATAGTCATTTTAGAACATGGAAACATTAAAGGTCAGGTGAAATTCAAAATGAGGTTTATCTACTGTAGTCATATGATCAATGATAAATGGGATGAAAGTACCAGACGTCAGTGAAATGTAAATCATTTGAGGTTGGAATAAATTCTTTATTTATTTAACTTGCTAGTAAAAATAGTGTATTTTGTGAGTGGCCTTTAAATTGCACAAACAAAATCCATATTAAATGTTTTTGTTTGTTTGTTTGACATGTATCAACCAAATCAGTGAGCCTGACCACCCGATCCTGTTAGTCGCCTTTTACGACAAGCAAAGTCGCCTTTTACGGCAAGCATGGGTTGCTAAAGACCTATTCTACCCCGGATCTTCACGGGTCCATATTAAATGTAGCATTTCCAACAGTCATATCATATTTTCCTTTTATGCAATTGAAAACTAATTGGCAAAAAACCCGCTGCCAACCATCCCTATTACCTTTAATCCACCACCCATATTATAAATACCAAGAAGGATTTGAGTGATTTGAAGTTCTCTTTTGGCAAACTATTAATTTTCAACATTTATTGAGTGTGTGGGTGTGGGTGTGGGTGTGGGTGTGGGTGTGGGAGTGAATCTCCTTGACATTATACACTACTACTTCAATAACCAAATGAGTTGGGTCCCTATGATATTTTCCAAAAGGGGCAGGGGGTGTCAACATTGCATGTTCACAAGTGTGGGAGTCAAACATCCAGAATAGCCCTTTGAATTCTGATTTCCAACCCTGATGTGGCACTGCAGCACAGAACATATTGCAGGACATGACCACTGATATATGATTGTTCATATGCAGTTCCAGTGTGTGTGTTTGTGTTTGTGTGTGCATGCTATTCAGATCATACTATACATTTATGCATATAGACATTTCATAAGTGATCAGGTATACTGAGATTATATGTTTTGAACAGCACCATTACTAAGTCATTTGATGATATGTTTTCAACAAGATCTATAATGGCAGCCTTGTGATAAAAAATTTCACCTCTCCTCTTCCAAAAAGCTGTATCCATGCTGAATGATTGTACTAAAAGACCCTTATGCATATTGTCCATACAACATTATAGATAAAGGATAAGGCTACATTGTTTAACCATCTATAAGTGTTGCAGTAACACCACATGAACTATCACTTTATGGTCGAAGCAGCACACCTACTGGGTAAGGGATAGGAAGACAAATTGAAAAAGATTGTCCATTAATCGGTTGGTCAGTGTCTTGTATCTGCTGTCAGATGATCCTTAAAGCCCCACCCTGACTATAAATAGACCGCAAGGTGGCGGTGTTTCAGTTTCAGTGTTTTACATGACATCACCCGTTTACGCATTAACCAATGAAATGTGTGTGTTATCATGACGTCATATTGACCTGTCAGATCACTCGTATAAGCTCCGCCCACTAGAGTGCGGTAGTTCCTACCGCAGATGACCCTTTAAACCAAACTATTAAAGAGTGTTGCCTTATTCATCAGTAAGAAAGTAGTCCTATTACATATTAGTATTGTTATGGTGTGTTTTTTAATAATAAGATACTGTGTTCTGGATAGACAATTGCAGTTTGCATGTATTTGATGTATAAGTAAAGTTGGATAATTACTTCCTTTTATCTCATAATGGTTGTCATGGAAACAGATCAGAATATGCTTTCCATATCCTTGGATCACAATTCTAAGCACCGTAACACTATTCGGTATCATCAATCTATTCAGAATATACAATCTAAGCATCCCAGTTGCTGTTCTACAGATGCTCATATTCTAATGTTCATTTTCATTTTCATAAAGATCCAGGTTAGAAAAGGTCTTCAGCAACCCATGCTTGCTGTGGGAGACAACTATACTTGTCTTAAGAGGCGACTAATGGGACTGGGTGGTCAGGCTTGGTTGATGCATGTCATCGCATCTCAGTTGCATGGATTGATGCTTGTGATATCAATCACTGGATTGTCTGGTCCAGACTCAATTATTTATAGACCGCCTTTATATAGCTGGAATACAGCTGAGTGCAACGTTAAACAACAAACAAAACAACAATAATAATCTCTTTATGAGAGAACTGGTGTTTCGGTTGCCATGTTTACATGGTTTCATGATGAGACAAAAAGAAAAAGCCTGATATGAGGTATGATTCAATCAGAGCGAGTGAGTGAGTGAGTTTGGTTTAACGCCACTTTTAACAGTATTCCAGTTATATCACGCAGTGTCAGCTTAATGTGGAAGGAAAGTCCAAAGTGATGCAGGTCTCAGACATTTACCACTTCAGTGAAATCCACAAGCATGGTGCTGACAAACCCAGAAACTTAATTGGGGCGAACCAGGATTCGAACCCACAATCATAGGTTTCGGGCATGTCCGAGCGACGCAACTCTGCAAGCGAATCTAGGCGACTGGGCCACCCGTGAAATCTGCCCTTGTACTTGGAGTGTGCCTTCCCGTTTTATCTACAGTCATCTCTGAATATGATCAACTCATATGACGTCTGTAGAAATCAGTTGAAATCTAATACTCACAAAATCGATCAAACTTACTTAATATTCTTAATTCACAGTTGTCATGAACATTGCCTAAGGATTAGAATTTACTCTGTTTTAGCCTTCTTAAGTTTGACATAAGTTTTGTGTGATGACAATTTTAGAATTGTTGGATATATTTTGTTAAATATATATACTCCTTATATATTACCCTTTTATGGAAGTTCCTACTGGGATCCTTTGATATTGAATGGGCCCATGCACCCTATGCTTGTTGTATGCAACTTACAGGAGAATTACAGTTGGACCTTTTATATCGAGATCCGTTATTTAGAGCCTACTCTCTGGTCCTAACCGCCTCACTACATAAATATATATAAATTTGATAGCTTATCACAATTTCGAGATAAGAATACATAGTGCTATCCTAAAATTTGGACTGGGTCCCAACTTTTAGTTTACTTTAGAATTTTGCACCTTTATCTAAAAAATTGCATGTCCCACATTTTGAAGAAGCGCAAATAAGCACTCCTCATAATGGTCAGCACTTCTCCTAGATATATCTAGAACCTTTTCCTTGCACAACATCGGCGTTAAAGGTCAGTGCAGATTGAACTGGTTCAACCAATTCTGTACTTGCCTTTTCATCCAATTGTGAAAGGTAATCATTATTGACAAATAAAACTACAAAACACTTCCTGGTTCCATAAAAAAAGGTGTTAATAAAAGTCGGATTAAAGGAGCTGCATGAAGCTACTCACAACATCCAAGCAGTGAATTATTAAGATTAAGGCGAGCGTGACACTTTGTTGTTTTCGTTAAGTGAACAGACTACATATATATGAATTTCGAACATAAGCTTTTCTCACTATTGTGAGATGTACACTGTACATAATTTGTCAAAATTGTTTATGATCATTGCCTGCAAAATACATTTCAATTTGTCAACGAATACACATGTTCTGTGCTTAATTTTTCATGTATGCAATCATATTGCTATGGACCTAAAATACTGTTACCGGTACTTGATCTGTCTGGCTGTCCATTCCTCGCTACGTCTAATGTCTGGATGTTTTAAAGTTACAACATCGTCCAACTAGGTTTGAGATAACTGGTTCCCACTGTGTTTACACTCTGCCGTGATACAGCGGGAATACTGCTTACAGCGGCATAAAACAACATTTAATTCATTACAGGTGAAGCCGACTGTGGTTCAACATCAGTAAATTGCTAGATAATCAAACATCTGGTATAAACAATACTTTATTTCTTCAAAATGAAGTGGTCAACGGGGGCAATTTGTATTTGATGCCTAGATTATCTTCAGTGTAAATGTCCAGTATATTAATCTCACCCTACATTATTAAATCCTCCAAACTAACCAGGATATTCCTACTCTTCCCCAGGTCTTGTCCTGAACAGCATGAGGATACTTGATCTAGCCAAGGAAGGGGATTCCAGGATAAATATACAAGGCGATGTACGGCTTAAGGAGGAAGAAAGGTGAGACTGCTGTTGTCAGCAGAAAAAAAACCAACATGTCAGGTACAGAATACACTTGGGTAAGCAAGTGACATGATGACTGGTGACTCATCTGATGCAGGCAGACAGATTAACATACTGTTTGTCTCCCCATCAGGAGCAGCCCTGCTCAGCCTCAGGAAAGTCTGACTACACTAATCAATTTGTAGGCAAATAAGTAGCTATTTGGGGGCATTTTTCTCCTTTCATTTAAAAAAAAAAAATTCAATGTTTCAATGTGGTAAGGATTGTTAATATTAAGGGGCTTGTTCCTTTAGAGACCTTGGGTATGGCAGTTCACTTAGCCATTCGTTTAGGGACAGGTCATTTATATTATAGGGGTGTGAGATTCAGGGGATGGGAATGAAAACATGACACAGTTTTGTTTTTAAAATTTATTTTTTTTACATTTAAAGATTGTTTAATATAAATAAAAACTTGATGTTGACACAGAGACAGAGTGTGTGTATGTTAGGGTGAGTCATAAAAACATGTAACATGTAAATGGGGGAGAGGGGGGAGTGGGTCATGAAAAAAATGTTACACCCCTATAATAAATGATCAGTCTGTCAGAGTACATGTTTGTTTTTTTGACGAAAAGAATGGTCATCTCCAGACATTGCTCAGGTTGGACATTAGCATGAAGACAGGCTGGTTTATTTTGTATGTCTACTTTCATGATGATAGGACAAGGCAAGGTGTTGACGGGAAGCAAGGTAAACAGAACTAGTCTTCTGCAAGGTTGGATTTGGGCGCTGGTTCAATGGTTTTTCCATCAGTACACAGTAATTTGGTAAAGCTGGTTGAACGGTTGATTGTACATTCACTTTTGCTTTAAGCTCGAATTGTACAGTGATCAGAGTTTGGTTTTGACAAAATACCCTTTACCTCTCGATCTTGTGGTGGTGTTTGTTGTTTAATACCACACTTAGCAATATTCCAGCTATATGAAAGCAGTCTGTAAATAATGGCGTCTGAATCAGACAATCCAGTGATTGAGACCATGAGCATCAATCCATGCAATTGGGATATGATGACTTCCAAACGGCCAAGTCACAGCGTCTGACTACCCGATCCATTTAGCCGCCTCTTACAACAAGCATAAGATGTTTGAGACCTATATTCTGACCTATGAATCACTATCTATAGATCTTGTGGTGTAGATTAGGTTCATTTAATACTTTTCCTAAATGTAGATGTTTATATTTTAATTATCCATACACTGCTACTGCAAACTAGTTGTGAACAGATGAATAAAGCATTGTTTCATGAATAAAATAATACTTTTTATCCAGGATTCCAGAGAGTAAAGGTGGAGGTCTGAGACAAGGTCATAAGATTAAACTATCTTTTTGTGATTAACAAGTGTGTTTTTGATGAGTGGACATGTCTTCAGTAGAGAATTCAAACCAATCCTGTTCTGAGATGAACTAAATTATTCAACATCAGCTTGACTGCAAAATAATGGCATGAAATTGAGACATAATGATGAATTCTATTTTGTTATAAATTACTGTTGTGGCAGCAATGAATAATTGATGTTCATGTCACATTGGTCTGGATAACTAGAGCATTGTAACAATCACTCTCCGCAATGCTTTATCAGAGAGTATGTCATCACCCTGACAGTGAATACCGAACAATTATAGTGAGTGAGTGAGTGAGTATGGTTTTACGCCGCTTTTAGCAATATTCCAGCAATATCATGGTGGGGGACACCAGAAATGGGCTTCACACATCATACTCATGTCGGGAATCGAACCCGGGTCTTAGGCCTGACGAACTAACGCTTTAACCACTAGGTTACCCGACCGCCCCCCGAACAATTATAGATACTGTAATAAGGAAGTAGCATTCCCATACACTGAAGATAGCTGGCATCCTAAATATGTATCTTATTCTTTTTTTACTTTTGAATTGAGATTAGGAAAACTTGTGTTTTTGTATCTATCATATCCAAGTTATTTTCAGTTGAATTATTTAGAACCTTTTGTTTTTGTTACATACGATTCCTCCTGATGTCATAGTATATAGTTCATAGTCACAACAAGGATTTCAAACTTTACCATGCAACAAAAAGTATGTGAATGTGCCCTTGACTTCTGGAAAGTTGGGTTTTATGTAGGAAAGATTTGAAATTATTGAGGTGTTGAATGTCACTTTAGGAACAAAAGAACTGACAATATTCAGTGAACTTCTCTAACCATAACCTAGAGAAACCAGTAGCAGTCTTAAAATCTATTGAATCATATTGCATAAACAAGACTTGAAAATATTCTTGAATAGTGAAAATGAAATGTCTCCTGCCCATAAGAGAGTGGGTCACAAACAGATTTAGATCTAAATAGGCAATGCGAAAAATGGTAATGAGAACGTTACGAGCAGTGCCAAAAAAAGACTAATCGATAAAGAGTTCTTAGACCCTTTTACAAAAAAGGAAGATCCAATTAAAACATTCACTCGTGTCTTAATTAATATATGTCCTTAGGTCATCACTATTTCAATAATGCATGCTACCCCTTTGAAATGCTTCAATTTTTTTCTCAATCTGAAAGTAATTATTGTAAAGCATTTCAATGGCAATAGGATCTATGCTGAAAAACATATTCCACGAAGATTAGATTGTTAAGAATTTATAGAAATAGAAACTCATGGAAATCATATTAGTATCAACAGAATGTCTTAATTTGACCATCCATGACAGTTTCATAAAAGTGTTTCAAAAGTGCTTCTGTGTATGTTCGTACAAGTGAGTGTTATGGTGTAGTCAGCAGTATTACTGGCCTATATAACAGTGCTCAGCTGAGATATCAACCCCCAAAGGTAATTTAAGCTGGAGAGTCAATGACTATCAGTGGATACAATCATAACATCTCAGATTGGAGGGGAAGCTATGCCAAGATTACACTATTCTACAGAGTACTTTAAACATACTTCATTGACAAACATTTAAAACTACATCCTGCTCAAAATAGTATTTTCTTGCTAAATGTCTACCATTTACCTGAAAGTGTTAGTAATAAATAATATGAAATTTGAAATTATTATTTTTTTAAATTATTTAACAACCCTTTCTGCAGTATCCATTTTTTTATATCATATCCATGTTTCACTGGGAAGCCATGTACAGTCAAATTATGAAGTTATGAACAAATAGCTGCTCATTGCATTTAGGTGGGATCCTATTCCCATTTCAGTAAAGATTTGTCTCGTTTTCTAGAGTAATATTAACATTGTAAACTGTTAGTGTGTAAATGCGTATTTACTATGGAGCAGACTGGACACAGACAACTAGATTTGTAGCTTCTTTACAAGGCGTACATGTTGTGTTCAAAGGATTACCAATGATGCATCGATTGTTTTTGTTGTTGTTTCGTATGATGTACTTACAGAAATAAAATTAGCAAAGTTAACCTGTCTGAATAGTTACAAGACCTAAATAATACAGAACTAAAAGCAGAAACAAGGTTATCTTACTTATGTCGATGGTCTGTTTGTATTAAAGCCTTTAAGAATTATAAAAGCTCAAGGCTTACTTTTGAGTGTTCAATGTTTTCAGGCAATGTTACATATATGAAAATGCTGTAATACAACTTCAGTCAGCCGTTATTCTAACATTGTAAAATCAGGCAATGACGCTAAGGTCTGGTAATTTTGTTGGACCTGTTTCAAAAGATGTCTTCTGTTTGCCAAATATCTCTGCATGGATTCATTAATGGAAACCACAGAGAAAACTAATCAAATCAAAAGCTTTTTCAAACTGGTCAATAATATTATGATATATGGGCTCTCCCTATGGTGGTCTCGGGTTTTTATGGCCACTTTCTCCACTCCAGTAGCCAAGTGCATATCATATGTTGATGCAAGGGTATCATGACACACATAGTTTTTACACACATACTTTGTCACACGTAGTTTGTTTGGCAAAACAAAAACGATATTTTCGCATTAGTGTTGTAATGATCCTGTGGTGCCACAATGCGATACACACTTTTATTTCACAAGTTGATTGTCAATCTCTTTGCTGGTGAATCACAACCCTGAATCATTTGTTTCTAAATTTCAGAGATCAGGATGGGATACTGTTGGGCAGAACCATATAGGCTAGGGGGCACTGTGGATGTCATGCTATTTGCAGTCATTTAGGAAATACTAGAGTACCTGCATATACTGGTTGTTGTACAGTTTCTGTTATTCACATTTTTACACCAAAATACCTTTTAATGTAATGTATCATATGTATCAGGATAAAGGGGTTGTAAATCAATGTATTGTATTCTGGGCCTTATATCGGGATACAATACTGTATCAGATAAATTGACTCATATCTCATGATCACATTTATAAACATGTTGAATGTGTTAAATATTTTATATCTAATAATACCAATAGAATGAAATTGCTATTTGAACAAATATGGTTTCAAAATCTTGCAAGTCTGAGTGTCTTGTCCTTGATTCTGTTATGCTGCATTTGACCCATATCACTGTGTCATTATGATCTTGATTTAGTACCAGTAAACTCTCGAAAACCTGATTAATAATAAAAGCCAGTCTTTGTGTTTCCAGCTCCACTTTTCCAACCATCAATGGAGACAACCCCTACAAAATTTGAACAGGAAAACTCAACTGAAAGACAGTATGAGTGTTGTTAAACTAAGTGTATCATTAAAGACAAGGAAATTGATCATCAACATGTCTCAGCCATGGCAGAGAGCTGTGTTCTTACTCACATCCCATCATTCAACTCTGCTGCACATTAGTTGCCCAATGTCAAGGTTGAAGACCTGTAATCTACTTTGTTGTTCATCGCTGGTGGTCTTGATTACTTTATTGATTTCGGGGATCAATATTCTCGTACCATCTGATTGATTTCTTTCAAGTAGACATGTGCTCCTCAACAGATCCTATCGCCTTGGATGTTGCAGTTGTAAATCCTGTTTCTAATACCCTTGGCTGTTATTATATTGGCAGAGCAAAGGATTATTTCAAAATATGCTTGTGTCAGCTTCTTTGATTTTATTTGGTTTTGTGTTTGAAGCTTAGAAAATACACATTGTTAAAATGAGATAAAAAATGGCTTAAGTATTTGACCTTTAACGTAACGGACGATGTGTTAGAGACAAATTTAAGGCTCTGGAACCTGATGCCTTCACATTGCTTATGAAAGGTCAACTAAAGTTTGTATTAGATAATGTTTGAATGTCAAGCTATGTGTGCAGTACTGTGAATTCGAAACCATATATTTTATTACATACATGCTCAGATGTGTCCCAACACTTGGTATAACTTTACAGAGATTCACTATTGGAGGCCCTTGAATTTATTGTATCTGTTTTGTTGAGACTCTTGTCCTCTTCTTGTGACAGATAGAAATACAAATACCTAAAAGCCATTGATGCCTTTATTTAACTTCAGTATTACAGTAAATTATAACATCACATGTGAGAATGGTGTAGTAAATTACATCATTGTTTCTGTATTACCCTGTATATATTCCAATGTTTGAACAGAAACCTTTTTGGTTCTAGGCATTTCAGCTTTCTTCTACCTCATGACAGATTTTCAGTTCTCAAGGAATGAAATAATTTTGATGAGTGTGTTTGAGGGGTCTGCAATGGCATAAGAAAAATCAGGTTTCACTTACGCACAGAAAATATATTCGATAATATTTGGGGGAAAACACATTTTAGTATGATTAATATTCTGACTGTGTGTGTGCTGGCTTCCTGTATTGATATCAAAGAGATACCTCTCTCTTTCCACTGTCAGCACTGATACATGAAAACTCTTCGTTTGTGAGCAATTCAGATTCTTCAACACAAACTGTCAGTCCTTTAGAATTTTTATGCCTTTGTATCGGTATATGAGCCACACCAAGACCTTCAATATAGATATCATATCGTCTGGTTTGAATCGATTTCTTCAGTGTCATTCAACTTTATTGTGCCATGGCCATGTCTTGGAAGGCTATTTGGGCAAAGATTCAATATTACGATCATTGCGAACTTGAGATTTACTCAATTTATTATGTCCTTCATTCTCGGGGTATTGGAGATGGGTTTGATGCAGCACAACTGAATAAGAGAAAAGGGAATAGAATTTGAAATTGTCTGAATGGAGATATGAGGACCATTTTGGGTTGAGATTTTAGCAAAAGTGTGAAAATGTTTTGTGCAGAATGTTTTTGTGTAGATCTTGAGTCAAATGACAATTGACAAAGTTGGTTTGTAGTTTATGCCCATGGTACATAACACTACATAAACAAATAACAAAGCAAATAAGTGCATAGTTGAGGTATCATTTTGATGTATTCCATGCATATGTAGGAGATGTATTGTATAAGAAGTTTGTTTATTAAACCTATGTTGGTGTAAAATCAATCAATTAACATGTCTATAATGGGGATTTATGATATTTGACACTGATGCAAATTTGCATTTATTACCAATGTTGTTTCCTTTGAAAACCACATTAACATATTTTCACATAACCCTTCGTCTACAGTGAAACAATAATAGGCTAGACTGAGACTTTATCAGGCTCTGTATCAACAATAAATGTTTATAATGTCTCTGACAGAGTTGTAATCAACAAAACATAAAAATGGCAGCAACATTACTATAGATTGGAAACCCTGAGGGACTTGATTGTTGCTCATGGTATCAACCACATGTGCGCTTTGAATATTTAAAGGCCTGTCTGATAAACCAGGACTATTGCTGACTGGCACTAGCACAATTCACTTCACTATGGTTATAAGATCACCTCATTCAGGGTTGTTGGATGCTACTCTACATACTCTTTTGTATTAGTGTTTACTTCTGCTAGTTTGATGTCCTTTTGACAGTTGCGTTATGACGAGTTGACTTTAGATTCTATTTTCAGAAATGTTTTTTCTTGTACAGTTTGACCTAGTAATTCCAAAACTTGACAAAGCCACTGACCTGTTTCCAGACATCAGATAAATATGCATTACTATTATTCAACTATAACATTAATATGTGTCAAGACTTCGTTTACTAAATATAGATATGCACATGAATTCTTAAAAACATAACAAAAAAATCAGACATTAAGCAATTGATTGTTAGATTTTCATCCTTGCCTGTCTCAAAACTAAACAAGCACCATGCCTCACATTATTTTATTGTCCCCAACAGAAAATCAGTATATGTGTTCCCATCTTTCTTTACTATGTTAATACACCCGTGAAGATCCGGGGTAGAATAGGTCTCCAGCAACCCATGCTTCCTGTAAAAGGCGACTGTGCTCTTCGGAAGAGGTGACTAACAGGATCGGGTTGTCAGGCTCGCTGACTTGGTTGATGCGTGTCATCGATCCCAATTGCGTGGATCGATGCTCATGATATCAATCACTGGATTGTCTGCTCCAGACTCGATTATATACAGACCGCCGTCATATAGCTGGAGTATTGCTGAGTGCAGCGTAAAACAACAAACCAACCAACCAACTTCTATATTAATAACATAGTCCTACCAAACATACATGCTCAATATCAATAGTTTTTTGAGTGATTGGCTTGACTCATTTTTATTTCTGACTAAATAGAACTTCAAGATAATTACAAAGAGTTATATAGGGAATCAATAGTTTGACATTTGAACATTTGTTTGAAGTTAAAATTCATCTTAGAATATTAAAATTGAAATTTAATCTATAAGAATGAGGCAGGAGTATTTTGAATAAAAGCGACAAAAACATTTCTATGATCATACGATTAATAATAATAATTAATGATTGATATAATCATAATCATTAATAAAATAATAGTCCTTTGTATGTTTCCGACTATATGTTGAGCATGTATTTATGAATCACTTTCAAATAGTGATGATACCAAGTGTTTGCGAAGAGGTGTTCTTTCTGGCCTCACTGGTGGCACCTGTCACAAACACATTCAAAGGCAAGTCAATTGTGGTAGAGATGTGATAGACATTTTAATATATTTTCTTTGAATTTTGTAGTGTGCAATTATACAAATCTCACTGATTTAACAATTTGGAAACATATTTTTCATTCAGCGGAAAGAAGTCTGAGACACACAAAAACAGGAACACCATACCAGACGAGTCTGAAATGCAATCAACAATGGGGTTCAGGGTAAGTGCAGTAGCAATCTATGGCCATTTCCAGTAGTGAATTATTGATGCAACATGTTGTCTTCTGTAGGTAGCTCTTTCAAAGGAAGTTGCCATTCTCGCATTATCATTTTGATTGTGAAATATTCATAAGCATTGTGATTCAGAGACTCTGTCAACTTGCACTAGCAGCAGCAGCGGGGGAGTCTAATTGTGGACTGTCCTACCACGTACACTAGCTGAAGGCTCGTCCTTACCTTGTACTTGGCGCCTGTTGACGATACATCAACAAGCTTTGTGTCTCTCTCAGAGTGGACTCTTCTAATTGCCGATTTAGCTCAAAAGAGGGCTTTTGGAAATTCCTACGTTGTACCCTGCCAGTATACTAGCAAGGACTGAGGAGTCACGATGTTGAAATATTCCTCCCATATCATCATTTGCCTTATCATGTGTATCAAGGTAATGTTGGCAATGTTCATGTCTTTGAGATTGAATGGTCTTAGTTCAGACTACATTTCAATGTAGCCATATGTGTCTGATGTATATTTTGACTTCATGTTCATTTCACATGATTGCAAGTTCTGTGATGGAAAGACTAGCATGACATAGATCACAGGGAGGAGAGAGAAAAATCAATACTCGTGTAGCATTTCAGTGAGTCTTCGTTTCAGGAAGAGATGTCTTTCCAGAAATTGTCTAACTGTTGTCCACTGATGGCATTAATGATGTTATGGCCTTAAATGGTTGTCTAGAGTTAATTCCTAACAAGTGTAATTGCAGACCTAAATTGTATAGCTTTTGTTCAACCCCCAGATTTTCCTGGCATCAGACCTCGGTGTGATGATCCATTGATCATAGTTATATGTGTTTGTGTTTGTTGTTGTTACATGCTTCTCTTTGTGGAATAATTCATCGTTGAATCGAACAGTTGTTATTGTTATGAACTGTAATTATTTCCTTAGGTTTAAACAAATCGATATTATTAGCTATTAGTTCTGTTAACATCGATTAATTCAGATATTAAAAAAGATGAAATAATTACGCCAATTGTGATGGGAGGTTTTGTGTTGAATGGTCATGCAAATAGCGTAACATCTTCTTTGAGAAAATCACTAAAACATATATAATTAATTTAATAACTTCCCTTTCAAGATTCAACTGGATTGCTCTAGTTGGATCATTTACAGTTAATTGGTTTTTGTCTAAACAGAGTAGTGGGGCTACATTAAATAATCATGGAACATAATCTTGTTATGATCGTAAGCTAATAGGTTGGTCAGGATATTCTACACTAATGAACTTATTGAGAATATTAACCTAATCTCCAGTCAAGCAATTTCCTGATTTGATGGCAATGTACAAGAGATGACATGTGCTGTATTTAATGTAATTGGGCTGGGCATCAGTTGCTGTGTGGAGAACAGTCCTACCATGCAGTGTACATTCAAGCTCACACTAATGATGCCATATTTTTGTTAAGATGGGGGCATGGGTGGCCCAGTTGTCTAAGGCGTCGCGATTCGCTTTGCAGAGTTGCATCCCTTTGGCACACCAGAAACCTATGATTGTGGGTTCGAATCCCGGTTCGCCCCGATTATGTTTCTAGGTTTGTCAGCACCATACCCGTGCTCGTGGGTTTCACCGAAGTGGTAAATGTCTGAGACCTGCATCACTTTGGGCTTTCCTCCCACATTAAGGTTAGACACTCCGCGATAGAACTGGAACACTGTTAAAAGCAGCGTTAAACCCAAATCACTCACTCACTCACTCACTTGTTAAGATGCATAAATAGGATTCAGGAATGATATGAATTCTTATTCAAAAGTAAATATGCTCGATTTTCTTGGCAGAATTTAATATGTGGTATTGATAATTACGGTGGCCCATAAGGGACATGGAGTCTGTTTTTCAATATTTTGATATTTCACTTACTTTTATCATAACCTTTTGCAAATTAACACAATTTGTCATACAAATATGTGATAAATCATGTATAAAAACAACCGAAAACATGGAAAATGTACTTTCAAGAAGCTATTGAATTGCTGAAATATGAAGCGAAAATGTCCTAAAGTAAAATGAAAATGTCCAAAACTAAAATGAAAATACAGAAAAGTATTTCCACAACGGTGATAATATTCCCACCGCGTTGATAATATTTCCACTGCGGTGAAAAGTATTTCCACTGTGGCGATAATATTTACACTGAGGTTCATTTTAGTTTTTGATCTTTTTGTTTTTGTTTTTGAGATTTTCATTTTAGTTTTTGATCTTTTCGCTTCACTTTTCAGCAATTCAATATCACTTTATACATGATTTATCACATATTTGTATGACAAATCGTGTTAATCTGCAAAATGGTGTGATAACAGTAAGTGAAATATCAAAATATTGAAAAACAGACTCCATGTCCCTTATGGGCCACCATAGGTAATGGCTTAATGGTTTGTCAAATAAGTATGATTCAAAGACAGTTTCATTAAAGTGATATTGTGTTATGATTTGGTAAAAATGAAACATTTTGCGCTTGGAAATATTCATTCTTGTGCTACTTTCTTAGATAAATGATAATGTTGCCATTTAAATAGTGTAAAACATAATTAAGGACCTTTTGTATATCACTGATATAGTTTTTTCATCCATTACTGGCTTAGTTCTTAACAGTCATCCTTCTGTGAAAATGCTGCTGTAACATTTTGATCAGAACAAGTTACACAGGGAGTAAGGTAGAGCAAATGAAATGAATTATTGATTTGTGTTGCTATAAATGGATGATATTTCTTGATGAAGTTACTGGGGAGGAAAGAGTGTCAGTCCTTTCTTTGCGAGAAGTGTCATTGTTAAGGATTTCTAATGTTCTATAAATCTGATTAAGATTTTGATGAATGTGCAATAATCTCTTTCCGAAGCCTCCAAAGAGCCAATAATATTTGCAGACATATAAATTCATTTTTGATGAGAATAAATTCTAAATGTTGGAACTGTAATACATGTACATATTAAAATATGCAAGTAAGGAAATCAATATTTAATCATGAAAAATATGATTTAATTGAACATATCTTTAATTCTAGTAAACAGTACAATCATTTAATGCTTTTGAGTTTGTAGAAAAAGGTCAAATTTTGAGAAATCCACAATAATGAGTCTGATATTAGGCTTTAGCTAATATGAACTTCATTGCATCAATTTCAAGCTAACTGAAAATGGTGAACCATGGACCAAGTATTCGCAAGTCACCACCCCTCTGCCGAGTGACTCAAAGGCACATAAAAAACGATCCATTATGGACAATTGGGAAATGGTCAACACCAATAAACTGCGACATTCACAAAGAAAACATAAGCGTAGAGACAGAAACTTGTACAATAGACAGTTTCGGTTGCTTGTATTGGGTGACAGAGATCCTGATGACAATTCTATGAAAAGGGACTGGGAAGTTGGAAAATCACGTAATCAAAGAACCCATGGTCGAAAGGGGACAACCCCTGATTGGCGACAAGACGATCAAATTGCATCTAATGTTCCTCAAAGGGTCTCATCAGAAGAAGGAACCTGCCATTTTGAAGCAGGAGGAAGTTTTGTGGATATGGAAGGTCATCGCTTTCAGGAGGGGAGTGGCGGTGACACACCCGAAATAGACCCTGAGGATTACTCAGACTATGATACAAGTACAGAAATTATTACAACTTTATTGATGTCTGACCCACCATCCACAACCCCTGATGAACCGGAGGAAGAGCCTGACACTTCTAGTGTTACCAAGGTTTTGGTATTCAAGCCAAAAGATAATGAAGTACATACACCATTGTCAAAGAACAGAACTGAAGAGACATCTCGCCACTTCGTTTGGACAAACAGAATGGCTGGACTGTTGAGTACAATTGGACCAACGTCAACTTTCATGGTATTTTATCTTCATATCTGGGCATGAATTGGAGATTGAAGATGTTTTCTGATATATAGAGTCTTTAGTTAGTATTTCTGGTCTTCAAATATTGACAGTGTTTGTATATGAAGGTTCATCTGTCTTTAACGTTTTACATTATATTTGACAGATTTTTATTTATTTCTATCTTTTATTAATTCAATTTAATGCAAGGGGTATATATATATTTACCTGTGTGTTTATGTAACTTGGCAGGAAAGCATGTAGGTGTACAAAGTGTTAACCTTTAGAATGCCAATGTAAAGTAATAATGACTTATGACATTCATGAAGAAACACTAAATATATTAAATTAATAGAAGGAATCCATTATTGATTGACTTTTAATAGTTAAACATTGATTTTGTGTGGTATGCATCTTGCAGACTAAAGGTTAAGATGTAGTCTTTTTGTGGCTTTAGCTGCTTGGTTTTGTGAATTGATGCATGTGCAAAGCTGCGGAGTGATATTCATTTATTTACATTTTGAAACAATTTATGTATATGTATATCTTTATCAATTTTCCAAAGACAGTGTCTTGTTTTAGTGTTTACGAAGATGTTTTGATTTGATTTTTCTGAGCAATATTTGATCAGTCATGAAGCATTTCCATTTTAAGATTAGTTCGTGGACATATTTACAAGGAGGTACAATGGTATCAGTGTAAAACAGGACATTCTGTCCTTGTTTCTCTGTATTGTGGGGGTGAGAATAGTGTAATTTCTAAGTAGCATTATCATTGGGGTGAGATTACTGTAAAATTGTAGCATTATCATTTTGTTCCACTTTCTATCATTCTTAAAGCAAATTTAGTTTTGAAACATTAGTTAGATGAAATTGAAAACTAAGATAAACGTGTTTTTGCATACCATCTATGCCGCTCAAGTTTACTTTGAAATATATGCACATAAATTCGTGCAGCGCAGTATTCATTGCAAATCATTATCCTCTAAATAATTACTGACTTGCCTTAAAACTGTGTATATATGTTTGAAATGAGTATGCCAATAGATTTGCTATGTAACCATGGTAACTGTTAGTAGTAAACATATCCTTCTACATATGAATGTACATTGTGGCACAATATTGGCATGCTAGTGTAATATGCATCTTCAAATAAACTTTTTTCAATTCTTAGTGTGTTAGTTTTCTTTCAGTCTTTGTACGATTTATTCATGGTTGGTGCTCTAGAACCTTTACTGTGAGTGTCTATGGTCTTGTCTTCATGGCACCGTATTTGAATATATGCACCACATGTGAATCAATAGTCATGTTCACTTGCTGTATGTTGATAATATGTATCCCTCATTCTGTACAAAGTAGCAATTCTATAATGAAAAGACAGCATATGTCAAATCAATATGCTTATTTGTGTTTCATGAAGGAAGGAAATTATGCAGATAATTTTAGAATTTACTGTAAACCTACATACATTTCAGAAATGTGCTTTTGTCCATCTTAGATAGAAACACTGACAGTAAATGTTAAGTGATGAAAATATTCATGTTCCGACTACTGCAGGCATATTCGCTACTTGTGATTACTGCATAAGTAATGACTATTTGATTTTTCATCATTTTTGCAAACGGATTTAGACGTAATATTAATTTTCCCATTCCTTTATTCTTCAGCAAATGACACCAAAGCTTGGTGTGACAGATGACATAATATATTTTCTATAATTGTCCCATTTTTTTAATTCAACAGCAAACGACACCAAAGCTTGGTGTGACAGATGACATAATATTTTCTGGAGCTGGCCCTGGCTGTCACAGTGATGACGAGGATGATTGTACCTCAGTGGGCTCCGGCACAGAGGACGACATCATCACTCCAACAATCATCATTAAAACTACACCCGCACCACCTACAACCACTACAAAAAAGTAAGGTTCTCTCTGTCACTTGCCAATTTCTGGAAGTTACTTAAATGTGACAATTGTCTTTCCCTGTTCATCAAATCCCAAACAACTGATGAAGATGCACATGCTTGTTTCATAGGGTGGATGAATACACTTCACCAGGTCTTTGCTTCCCCCAGAATAACCTATAGCAAGATACTAGATCTGTGCCAATAAATTGTAATCAGGAGATATTTTTTTATCTTTAATAAAATTAAAGAATTGAAAAATTGAAATTACAATATTAATTATATGAAAGTGGTAAATTTTTCTGATTGGATATTTTTGCAGCTTATTTTCAGTGTGTAAGTGATTTGTTTGTGGTTCTGGTTTGTCGGAAACTGGAAATGATTTCATATTTTTGAAGCAACAATGGGTCTCTTGTTCTGCCAACTTAAACTAAATGCCTTTCAAATATGTAAAATGTCAATGCCAGTGAATAACCAGTCTCGATTATCTGCTGAAACTGACAGCATTGGGCATAAAGGTCAACATAGTGAGTGAGTGAGTGAGTGAGTATGGTTTTATGCCGCTTTTAGCAATATTCCAGCAATATCATGGCGGGGGACACCAGAAATGGGCTTCCGCATTGTACCCATGTCGGGAATCGAACCCGGGTCTTCGGCGTGACGAGCGAACGTTTTAACCACTAGGCTACCCCGACCGCCCCAGGTCAACATAGTGATGGAAACTATATGTGGCAAAGGGCCTTTAGACCTTCAACATGTGGGTATCAAGTGTTAACTTACCACAAAATCTTGATTGTTTAATACATATGATTAAATAATATCTACTTGCCTTCCTTTTCAGACCAACTTGGAAACCACCATGTGTTGGATCCAAATGTCCCCGGACAGAAGAGGTTATGAGTTCAACATCTAACCGTGGAACAAGCCTTGACCCTGAGGGTAATGACGGTAGCAACACAGGCCTTCATCCAACAGGGGAGACAAGTGGGGGCTCGGTGGCCAACAATGGAGGCGGTACTCCTGTCAACATTGGACTCATCATTGGAATAGCAGCAGGGGTTCTGGTTGCTATTCTCATATTAATATTTGCACTGTACAAATTTCGCAGTCGAGATGAAGGAACATACAAAGTGGATGAAAGTCAGAACTTTTCCTATCTGGAATCTAAAAAGCAACAAGGCAATGGAGCTTTGTTAGGTAAAGGAGAAGAGACTGGCAAAAGAGGGAAGAAGAAAGATGTAAAAGAATGGTATGTCTGAGTGGAGAAACAGTCCCTGATCCTTGCCAACATTCTTGGAGTGGTGAAGAATGTCTTTGAGTTGTGATAAGAAGGATGATGTCATAAAAATGACTTGTCACAGTGTTATCAGATGGTACTTATGTTGGTAGTAGAATCATTCAAGGGAGGATTAATTGGTGGTGGCAGAGTTTTACTGCTCATGCAAAACTCAAGAATTGTAAGACAAGAACTTCATCAACAAATTGAGTGTGAGATACTCAGATTTGTAGTCATGAAGATTGCTTCTTGGAGAAAGTTGACAGAAACAATGCGATTGGATTAATTCTGTTACGACTGCAGCTAATGGAAGGAAATAACTCCATTACAAAAATGACCATAATATGATATATCATTATGTGGGCATACGTGTTCATACTACTTACAAGATACAGATAATTGCTCACATGTATATCAAGGTGCATTGCTGGTGAATAGAAATCAAGGTGGACCTGTTCAGTGTTGAAGGAGAAAGTGATGTGAGTGACTGGTGATAGGACGCTGGCTGGCGAGTTTTGGGAGCAGTTGTCTCCCTTGTTGTATCCTGACTATTCCTCCATGCCATACATGTTGATTGCAAATGTGATCCGAAAAATGAGTGAACGTGGTGCTGAGGTCGTGACCTTCAGGTCATACACATGACCTATCCTTGTTGACTCGTTAACTAATCTGAATCTGCTGTGCGGTGCATTAGTGTACTTGAGAGATTTATGGAAATGTATCTACCTTAATTTGATTATTGTGAAAACACTCTGGGTTGTTACATTGGAAAATATTAAAGTCTCTCGTGCTTTATTGTGTTGTTACTATGTTAAAGTGTTATGACAATTTTGATTTACAGCATCGGTTATTGTGTTAATTTTCAGGTAAAAAGTGTAACATTGTGTCATATGATTAGTAGATCAGCTTTACTTTCTACAAGTTACAAATATAACTAAGCATGCAGCTATATGATATGTTTTGTTTGAAGTTGTAACAACCTTGAGGTGTTTTGCTATAATCTATTCTCAGGTACTCTCAAGGAAATATTCATATTAACAAAGGATGCAAAAACATTTTGCATTATAGATATACCATAACACATTATAGGCAAGAATATTGACTATTTGCACATATCTTATTAACAACTTTTGTTGAATTTTGTTTTTGTTTGATGTTAGTGGTTGATACAACATGTACTCAGAATATACATAAAGTGCTCTGCGGTTCCATTTTATCTACCATCTTGACGACAAAAAATTATTTATGAAAAGAATGATGAAAATACTGATCTAACTGATATAACTCTTTGAATGTCAAATTAATGTCTAGTTTCAACTAAATCAAAATATGTGTTGAATTTTATTTTCTACATACTTTTTTTATATGATCAGTTCTTGCAACTTCCTCTTATATTGTGCTTATTAGTATTGCAAAATATTACTATTGCTGACATTTGAGATACCACATATCATTCTAACCTCAAAAATATGAAGGTTGTTATGTTCCTTCTCATTTTTAGTATATTAAGTATTTGGCCCTTGGTCTATTCTTCAATATTATGAATAGTGCAACTTAGATATGGATCTACACTATGTATTAATTAAGCAATAATGTAAGATACATTGACCAAATTAAAATTTATATTACAAGTCATATTTGAGAGACCATAATGTTCGATGATCATCTTATTGTTTAAATGTTTATTTGAACTATTTTGTTCATCAGTCCACAAATGTTTAAGATAATTGAAAATGTCATTACTTGATTTTGGTTTAGTACTAACATTCACAAGTTAAAACACCAATAATACAAATACTGCATAATTTCTGTGTGAAAGCTTTAATATTAAAGTTGTGTATTTATTTTCATTAAGTATACACAGATATTTACTGTTGAGTGATACTGAGTAATATTCCATTTTTGCTGACAATACAATGCATTCCAAAATGATATTAGTCATTGGATAGAGAATGTGTTGCAAGATGATTTCAGGAATTTGTTTTCCTATATTGTTTCCACCTTTTCCAAAGAATTGAAGTGAACTATAAATGACCAATGTTATGTCAGATGTTTTTAACCACTTTTTTCCTTTTTTGGTTATTTTCAAGGTATCATCTTTTGTTAGGTATTTTATCAAGACATATATACTGACTGATTATTTTACTTTTTTATTGTTGCAAATTAAACTTCAACAATCCATTTCAAACAAAGCAACAATTTATTTTTGGGGTTTAATACCAATTAATGATATTCAGTTTCAGTAAGTTCTTTCCTGTGTGTACAACTAGTTGTGATTTTACAGTGATGAATGCGCCATTCAAAACTGACTGTTTAACAGTATTTGTAAATATCAATGTCACAATTTTTGTCCTTTCATAAACCTCTTTGTCCAATTCCAGTTGTTCCATATTATGTTAGCAGAATGATCTGTAAAATAAAAGCATGTGAACATTGTAGATATGTATGTTTTTTGAAGATGTGAATGTGTTCATGTGCTTCTCGTCTTCATTGTTGCAGCTGTATGCTTGTACAATACAAGTCACCGTTAGATATATGAGTGTGTGAATGCTGGAGCACTGTCTCCATGTCCAGTACCTTTCAAAGCTATATCTACTTCCTAGTTATTATCTTTGGCTTCATGAAACTAAATAAAACTTGTCATTTGTAGTTAGTATCATTTCAATTTAATGCCTTGTAATGTCATTGTTAAAGAAGACTATACTGAATATCGATAAAACACTTTCCGCAGATATATAGGGACATTCTATATGATAGGAACTTTTAAAATTTCCCCATTCTAATTTCTATGTATGTCTTTCAATACATGATGTGTTTTATGATTTCACAGAGGGTTGACATAATACAAATATATCATATACCATTGAATATCTGCTAACAAGACCCCGTTATTGGTTGTATACATAAGACTAAGTGATATTTATTCTTGGTTGTCAGGCTCCAGTTATACAAATGAAACACCTATTTAGGATAACATTGAGTATCTGTTTTAACATGAGGAATGAAATCCCTTTCTTGGGTAGCAGTCTTCACTTTTTCAAGAAAGACTGTCTGCCTGCACTACTTTTGTTCCGAAAGCCTGAGAATCAATTATATTTCATCCTACTACATGTACAAACAAGGAGCTAACAATGTCAGCATTGTATACATAGTGATATATACTGGATCAAATTAACAACTTTTATCCCATATCAGGATAGTGAACAAATAATGTTAACAGTGGTAAATGAAACATAAAAAAAATTATGAATTGAAAATGGTAACATTTGTTGTATGGTAACTTAACAAAATAACGTTATAATATTAGTAATATTAAAAGGCAACTTATGGAACTGATATATCACTAGATGGATTACATTTTAATGACAGATCGTGTACAGTATCAGTTCTCAATGTAACTAGAACATTTTACATTGTATATTGTGTTTTGTATTATACATATACAGTTGAAATAAACGTTTTTGTAAATAAGCAACTGTGCATGCCTTATTGTCTGTTGATAGGAATGTGGGATTGCTGCTTTATAGGGCATATTCAACTTGTGGTCAGGACAATTTTGAAAAATATTGAAAAATGAGAAGAATTTACATTTTTCACCAAAGGATCTTGGTGTGGCAGAATTCTTGGTTAATCTACAGACTGCTGTGTAACTGTTGCCATTAATTATGAATGATGAAAATACACTCTTTGTTGTTTTTGTTCTTTGTGTATGTGGCAGGTGCTGCAGAAATGTTAACTGTGTGAAAAAGATGTTGTTCTCTGCATGTGGTGTTCAGCGTAGACATTGTCATGCATACACTGAAGTTGACTGAAGCTTTATCTTCATTGAAATATATAAATGAGTGAGTATGGCTTTACACCACTATTAGCATTATTTCAGCAATATCAGACAGAAAGGAATACCAGAAATGGGCTTTACAGAATGTACCCATGTGGGGAATCAAACCCGGTTCTACCATGTCTACTGGGGTGATAAGTGAGCACTTTAACCACTAGGCTACCCCAACACCCCTCAAACATAGAGTCAGAAGGAATATGTGCATAGTCAGAAAGAAATGTGAACATTAGGGACTTGTAGTGTAACCATTAGTTATTGTGAATGTTTGTCTATTAAATAATTTATTGATCCACTAAACACAGGTCCAGCTATTCCTGCGGGTACACGGGTCCAATCAGTACCCACCCGACCCGAGAACCCAATATTACCCATCCCAGTCCGAGAAAGAAACTTGCAAGAATCTAAAAGAGTCATTTCCAATAAGGCATTAAATATAGAACAGGATACTGAGCAGTTACTGTTATATATTCCAACAGTTCCAACAATGACCTTGCCACTCTTTTAAGGATGACTAAAATAGTTTGTTATGAGAGGAATACAGTATACAGTGGTAAAGTCTAATGATTTTTTAATGGGTATTGATTCTCCAGCATACCTAATATCAAGCAAGGCTACTCAGTGGAGCTGTATTATACCAGCACCATACAGTGTCCAAGGGTTTCACCAAAGTGGTAAACATCTAAGACCAGCATCACTTCTGTCTTTCCTTCCACATGAAGCTGACACAACATGATGTAACTGGAATACTGTGCAAAGCGACGTTAAACCAAACTCACTCACTCACTCACTATAAGATACAGTGCAGTCTTGTACCTTTTCTCATCTCATTGGGACAAAAACAAGGTGTAACTTTTGCAGAGCACCCATGCAATCACCCTGCCTTCACTTCCTGCAGGTTATGCATTTTTCTGCAGGTGAACAGAGGCACATTCAGTTAGGAGCTCTTTCCTGTTGTGAGGTGAGGTGAGGTGAGGTGAAATCCACTGAAATGGGGTTTAACGTGGCGTCCAAGATTATTGCACTTATATAGCGACGTGCATGTACGTGTGTGTGTTTGTGTGGCTGCTTGTACTAGTCTGGACTGATGCCGATTTATAGTGCTAGCTCAGTGAGATACCATGGCGCAGTTTAACATGAATACCCCACTCAGACACAGTATACTGACTCTGAGCCGACCAGTCCTTGTTTTAGCCCCTTAATGCCGAGCGCCAGACAGGGTAACAACAAGTACCATCTTTTAATGTCTTTTGGTATGACACGGTCGGGGATCGAACCCCGGACCTTCCGCTCTCCGGGCGGACGCTCTACCACTAGACCACGGAGGCGGTCCTTTCCTGTTGTGACATCTGGCAGTGCAACAGTGTGGGACAGGAGACCTAAACACTCTACAATCTGCAACCTGCCATGCTTCACTTCATCTGACTCTGAACGAAGTGTATTGCACTCCGTCAGCTTCTCATTAGATTTTATTGATTCAACAGCTTAGCCTATGTCTATACAAGTAATGACTTTGTTAGGACCTACTTGTAATTAGTAAGTTTCAAGTGCCCTCTCACAGTCACTGTAAATAAGATGGCCACCACTGCTGAAACATTTTTTTATAATATCGAGGTGTAAAGTTAAAGAAACTTCTTTGTCTTGTTATCTAGCTCACCTAGCTCACCTGTCTGAAAGTCAAGTGATTTACACATAAAATATTTGAACAGCAATGCAGACAGCACCCTTTGTTAATATCTGTTGATACTAACCCAGGTGAGCTACAGTGTCATGGCACTATTTATATTCTATTGTTTTCCTGCTAGTAAATAAAAGAGAAAAAAGTGTGTAAAGTGAAAAATGATCTAATAATGTATTTAACCTGAACTACAGATTAATGTTTGATGACTGCAATAAGCCTGACACCTCTCAGGCAGGTGTAATAATCATGCTTCTCCCAGTAAGCAAAAGGCAAAGAGTGATCATTTCACTTTAATAACGGTTTATCTGAGATATTATGACTTGCTGAATGTTGAAGGAAATAACAAAAAAAATGCAGATCAGGAATAAAATCGTTATGTCACTCAATGGAACAGCACATCAATGACCTTGTGACAGGATGCTATTTCTATTTCTGAAGTATTGGCAATATACATCACCTGCTCACAGTGTAAATAACAGCAGCAATGACAGGCTCTATGATCCTATAAAGGACAGATTATTGCAATAACCTGCTTGCAGTGTAAATAACAGCAGCAACATGATCTATGATCCTATCAAGGACAGATTACTGCAATAACCTGCTCACAGTGTAAATAACAGCAGCAATGACATGGTCTATGATACTATCAAGGACAGATTTTTGCAATAACCTGCTCACAGTGTAAATAACAGCAGCAACATGGTCTATGATCCTATCAAGGACAGATTATTGCAATAACCTGCTTGCAGTGTAAATAACAGCAGCAATGACAGGCTCTATGATCCTATCAAGGACAGATTATTGCAATAACCTGCTTGCAGTGTAAATAACAGCAGCAATGACATGGTCTATGATACTATCAAGGACAGATTTTTGCAATAACCTGCTCACAGTGTAAATAACAGCAGCAACATGGTCTATGATCCTATCAAGGACAGATTATTGCAATAACCTGCTCACAGTGTAAATAACAGCAGCAATGACAGGCTCTATGATCCTATCAAGGACAGATCATTGCAATAACCTGTTTGCAGTGTAAATAACAGCAGCAACGACAGGCTCTATGATCCTATCAAGGACAGATCATTGCAATAACCTGTTTGCAGTGTTAATAACAGCAGCAACGACAGGCTCTATGATACTATCAAGGACAGATTATTGCAATAACCTGCTTGCAGTGTAAATAACAGCAGCAACATGGTCTATGATCCTATCAAGGACAGATTATTGCAATAACCTGCTTGCAGTGTAAATAACAGCAGCAACATGGTCTATGATCCTATCAAGGACAGATTATTGCAATAACCTGCTTGCAGTGTAAATAACAGCAGCAATGACATGGTCTATAAACCTATCAAAAACAGATTATTGCAATAACCTGCTTGCAATGTAAATAACAGAAACAACATGGTCTATGATCCTATCAAAAACAGATTATTGCAATAACCTGCTTGCAGTGTAAATAACAGCAGCAACATGGTCTATGGTCCTATCAAGGACATATTATTGCAATAACCTGCTTGCAGTGTAAATAACAGCAGCAACATGGTCTATGGTCCTATCAAGGACATATTATTGCAATAACCTGCTTGCAGTGTAAATAACAGCAGCAACATGGTCTATGATCCTATCAAGGACAGATTATTGCAATAACCTGCTTGCAGTATAAATAACAGCAGCAACATGGTCTATGATCCTATCCAAAACATATTATTGCATTAACCTGCTTGCAGGAGCTCCAACTGAACACATAAAACAGCTACCAAACATCCACAGTTCATCTGCAAGAATTGTAACAGAATCCTGGAAATCCTGTCACATTCCTCGACTTATGTCCCTACATTGGCTTCCAGTCAAGCAGAAGATGTGATATACAGGACCCTACCCTCAAGCCCCAGCTGATATGTGTGAAATAGTGAAAGAGTACGTTCCTTGAAGCCCCCTACTTGCAAGTCACCAGATGTTACTTTAGGTCTCTAAAGTGCAGCTTCGTACATTCGAAAAGGTCTTTCACCTGTAATGCAGCTACCATATTCGACGTAATAAGCGCCCCGCTCTAATAAGCGCCCACGGCGACATTTGCTGATATATTGGCAGTGAACAATCCCAATTAGCACCCCTCACGATTGATCAATGTATGCAAGTCTTATTTATTCGTGTATAATACGTACTCGTGTGTTATATGCACCCTTAATATGCACAGACTTTTCTTTTGTATCATTTTAGGCTGTCAGCATAAATTCACCATCATTCAACTGGGTTTTTTTTCATCAAAATTTTATTCTATTAAGGGCCCCCTATTACTAATTTTGAGAGCTTGGCGCTTATTACGTCGAATACGGTATTCAGTAAAATCCCCTTCCTGTAGATTTAATCAGTTCAAGAAACAGCTAAAGATATACATGTTCCTTTGACATTTAAATATTTATATTTATCCTGGCACACATAGTTGTAAGTTAGCACTATAAAAGTGGCCATATTATTTCTTATTTTTAAACCCGGAGAGCGGAAGGTCCAGGGTTCGATCCCGGGCCGCGTCATACAAAAAGACGTTAAAAGATTGTACTTGTTGTTACCCTGTCTGGCGCTCGGCATTAAGGGGCTAAAACAAGGACTGGTCGGCTCGGAGTCAGTATACTGTGTCTGAGTGGGGTATTCATGTTAAACTGCGGCATGGTATCTCAGTGAGCTAGCACTATAAATCGGCATCAGTCCGGACTAGTACAAGCAGCCACACACACACATACACGTGCATGCACGTCGCTATATAAGTGCAATAATCTTGGACGCGACGTTAAACCCCATTTCACCTCACCTCACCTTATTTTTAAATATTTATAAATTTGTGAAACTTGGAGTACTGACTTGGCAACGTTACTGTTGTGTACCTGGGATAAGAGATGATTTATAAGCAATATGAAGAGTATTTTCTCATTACAAAATCACACCAACCAGCAGATTCTTCCAGCAAAGGGATGTAACTCTGCACAGCAGACACATTAACCACAAGGCCAACACATCACTCCAAGGCTAGAGTGGATTCAGGTGTAAAATATTTGATGATCTAGTGAAGTGGTTGAAAATGAGTGTATACTTTCATCAATGGAAAATGCATTCACCAGTGTTGAACTATGAAGAGGATGTTTCTTTTCATTTTTAACCTTCAAATCTAAAATGCCCCACTTCCTAATAATATTTTTATTCAGTAGTTCCTAACCGGTGAAGATCTGGGAAAGAATAGGTCATCAGCAACCCACGCTTGCCGTATACGGGCAACTATTCTTGTCGTAAGAAGCGACTAACAGGATTGGGTGGTCAGGCTCGCTGACTTGGTTGATGCATGTCAACATATCCCAATTGCGTGGATCGATGAAGTAGTTACAGAAACTTATTTATTACTTGCCTGTGAAGAGAGCACCCGTTTAATAAACATACAGCTGTATTACACATTGTGTAATACCAAAGCCGGTGCTTATGTACTGCGGGAACAAGTTCCACTAACAATCATTGAAAGCTCTAAACATCACTTGGCTTATTCAACGACACTGCGTGAGGAGATGATAGATCACTGAGTGGAGATTATGCACACTCAATGACCCCAGCAACTCCGTTGCTAGGCTGACATCACATGGCATTGTTTCACCGGTGGATCTTGCAACAAAATTTCACAAATCACGTCATAGAGTATTGTGAGATGATTGTAAACTTTGTGGTGCAGGTCCCATTCCACAAGGCGATCGGACTGTAGGTCAACGACAGTCGTAAGTTTCTGTTAAAGTATGTGAGTTACGATAACCTTAGCGCTACGATACCTTTGTGGAACGGACACCTGAATTCTAAAGGTGGGCCGTTGTATGTTATTAAATTAATATGTGCCAACAGTTGAGGTGATGGAAGTATTATTCTGTTAAACTCAATTGGATTACGCTGTGGATCATGTGTCTGCCTATTCATACACGACAGTGACATTCTAAAAAAAATTATAAATGGCAAGTAATAAATAAAATACTAAACTTGCTCCCGTGTAATACCAATTTTATGAAACCTGTGAATAGTTCTGGTATCTGACTCGCTTTCGCTCGTCAAATAGCAGAACAATTCACTCGTATCATAAAATTGGTATTACGTAGTAGCTTTTTTAGTATTCTATATATACCGTATTCGACGTAATAAGCGCCCCGGCAATATTTGCTAATATATTGGCTAGTGAACAATCCCAATTAGCACCCCTTCCGATTGATCAATGTACACAAGACTTATTTATGCACCCTTAATTATGGGCAATTAAATTCTGGAAAAATACATCGGTCGTATATAAACATTTCAGGCTGTCAGCATAAACCACAAAATTTATCTTTCAACTGTTTTTTTTTTTCACTCAAAAAATTTCTAATAAGAGCCCCCTATTTCTAATTTTGAGTGCGCCCTGGGTGCTTATTACGTCGAATATGGTATTTAAAAAAAAAATTTTTTAGACTTTTAATTAAAAAATTATGTTTTAGAAGCTGTTGCTGAAAAATTAGCCAATCTCCATACAAAATTCCAGACCCCCCATCCCAGGATATTAAATGGTCGGCCCCCTTTATTAATATATTTCCTCCTGTGCAGTACCAAGATAAGTAATAAAACATTCCCAAGTAATGCAAGGCAAACATACCAGTAAAATCCTAGAAATTTTTTATATTTGTATACTTATCCTGCATTACTTCTTTATGCATATTACTGCTTGTTCTTGACAGAGAAAAGAGCTGTGTGAAGATCTCTGCTTGAAGAAGTTGTTCCAACAAGCTGAGAGGCCAACCCTATCACACAGCTCACACATGACCAGGGGAAGTGACGTCACGGATCCTCACATTACTCGTCACTTGCTGAGTGAAGACCTGTTTTTGATCTGTAGCATAAATTTGTTCAACGCTTATGTGTTTTGCTTCTTGAGTTTATGCTCTTTGTGCTTGTGTTGTGGATGCGGTTTTTATCTTTTTACATTCTATGTTTTTAACATGTGCATAACTATTTTGACACCTGCTGGCGTTTTCTCAAAAAAGAAAACAATGGTAATCCCAGGTGTCTTGTTGTTTCAAGTAGCCATCTTGAATATTTTTTACGTGGCTATGCGATTATGAACTGGCTTATGTGCTATATTCTTCTTACCTGGTACTGCTCCAGTGCCATCCCTTTACATTAATTACAAGTATGTTGTCTTACGTTTTTCATAATATTTAATTCATAAACCCACGTAGTGGGTAACAAAGTATAGCATACGTAATCGGGCGGGGATGCAGTGTGATTTTACACACGTCATGTATATGTCAGTTGTCTTTACAGACAAAATGAAGAGAAATGATGTGGATAGCCTTTGCAGATTGTTACAGCTTGTCACTTCACTTCATCTTTCTTTTCAACATTTAACAGAGTGGGTTCAGAGTGTGAAACTAAACTAAACTAGGAGTACGTTAATATATTTTTCCCTGTTCTTAAGAGGTACCTGAATATGTTGTCTTATGTTCAGTTTAAGTTACAAGTTTAAAACAAATGTTGGAACATTCTCATTAAAATCATATCTTAGTTCTCCGCTAAGGACCTCTTTGAGGACTAGTCACCTCATAACGACCATTCATCTGACCAATCAGAACATCGCTTACCAGATCGTTACGGGCTGTATGACTGGTCAAGATCATAGTTATCTCTCGCTTCAATGGAATAAACATTTGAAAATGAACAGATTATCCATGGGCCGTGGGAAGTACTGCTTTAGAATCTTAGTCATCTATTAGACATTCCAGAATGTTCTTTTGTGAAGTTATCAAAATTTTAATCAAGAACTTTATCATAGTGTAGTCTTGAATGGAAGTTGTCACATGTGAAACTAAAGAGCTGCTTTCTAATTGGTTAATGTCAACTTCTAATTAGTCATTTCAATAGTCAAAGTTCACGAAAGGTCATTCTGACGTGACCTGTAATGTGATGTCCTCGCATCTTTGTGTACTGGCAGCAAGCACTAAGATCTGATTTTAATGTGATTGCAGAATCCTTTAAAACAATAAAATAAATCTTTCATAAGTTAATTGTGGTTATTCCCACAATAATCAACAACATAGTCATTTCTGCATTCAATGTATTTATTCTATATTAAACACATAAATGTGTACAGTTACCTGCTTTATACAATTTTCAGTATGCAGACACCATACAATTAAAAGACACATGTCACCACACAGAACATCCTAACTTCAATGCTTCAATTACAAAATTGCTCATCCCGCCTCACATGAATGGAATGATCCTCATAATGGTTGTGATGTAGAACTCTGAATGTTAATGTGTATATCTAAAGACTGTTTACAAATCACAAACTTCCTATCATAATTGACTAGTCACTAAATATTTACATGACAGAAATCCAATACAAGATCACAGTTGGTTTGAGTAATGTCAATCTTAACTAAAACATGTCTGATATTTCTAAAAATTTGTTCAAAATAGCATCCAATGTTATGTATCACATATTTTTTTCTTGCCTTTAACTGCTATGTAAAACTGTGAAGTATTCACAAAATTGCAATACCTCCATGGTGTTTCAAATGCATGTAAACACCAAGGATAGTTGAACAATGAATATATATAAAACACTGAATTGGCATTACAAATATCACATAACATGAAATTTCATGGGAGGTGACTATGATTGGGTTATTCAAAGGCACTAAATGCAATCATAATTTGGACAGAAGTAAACATGGTAAAGATGCCACACGTAGCTACCCATTGAGAGCAAATGGCAATCCCATTAAGGTTGATTCGTCTTTTGAACATGCATGCCTTAATATCACAAATTATAAGTAATATTCAACAATAAAAATAAATAAATTACAAATCTATTCTACTCAAACAGTCAAACATGTACAAATTCATGACTTCACACATTTCATACAAATAGGTTAGAGCAAGTTTACGGTTCAATTCACTTCATAATTAATATTCATGAAAGAATCCACAAGGTGGCTTATTGCCATGGGCCAGATCCATCCTGATTTGCCATCGAAGGGTCTGTCTCTTCTTCTCTGTGGGTACCACATACTTATTGGCTACAAATACTCGCTGAGGCCTCTGAAAATTAAAGCAAAATTGACATATTTAATAGAAACCATTATTTTCAATTACTTCTTTGAGAGCATACAAACTGCTAAGGCCATAATGAATTAATTGCTAGATTATCATGCCCACTTTTTTTCAAAAGTGAGGAGGGAGGCTTTTTTTCGTATTGAAGTCGTCAAGTTGACAACTGGACACCATGGTATGAACAATAGATGACTGAAATAACAAAAATAATAAATAAACATTGATTTCAACTGTAGCAGTCGGATGTATCTGTGTCAAACCTATTTCTGTTTTCCCTGCCCCAACTTGTACTGATGCGTTTATGAATTTATCCTCAATTGACGTTAACTTGTCAAATTTGCACAAGCAAACTTGTTAAAGATTTCCATACGAGTCAGATACTCTGGCAAAGGACAGGCATACCAGTGTTTAATGGTTTGACCAGCCTATCATATTTTCAAACTAGCGAGCACCATCTTGACAGCTGACAGCAAACAGCCGATGGGCAGGCACCCACCGAGAGTTGGTTGTAGACCAGTTTACGGCATGTTGTAAACAGTGCTCTAACATTTCACATGGGCAAATAAAATTAATTTGTTGGGGGGCTTAGTTGTGAGTCGGATGGGGATGACAATCTACCAATTAATTTGATATGGCCAAAGTGTCATCAATCTATGTCCTTGGTCTCATAGAATATCCCACTCTTACACAAATGCAATATTTCATGGTCATATATATAAGAAACTAATTAACTAAAGCACTGAAGGAAGAGAATTTATGGATGTAAACTTCTTTAAATGGAAGTTCAAAGACTTAAAGCTCTGAAATGATTCATATGTACATGTTGTGTGTTGCAATAACATCCTAAACTGCCATAGAGATATATTTCCTAATAAAACATGTGTGGCAACATTTCTGTAAAATATAACTCCATAATTCTAATCCCATGAGTTCAAATTTACAATCACAAGAACATAATGGAACACATAAACCTCACATCAAATATCAATTTCAAAACCCTTATACTCAAAACAGCATTACGTCATAACCACAAAATCAATACACCAACATAATCTAACAAAGCTTGTTTAACTTAATGCCCAGAGGATCTCCAGCCTGAGATGCATTGCACATGTAGAGTCCACTTAGATGCAGTATTGATATATTGAATGCTGTGTCGCCAGCTACCTTCTCGATGGTTTCATGCACCAGCATCTGTTCCCGGATGTTCCACCGGAGCCCCTTGTGCACCTTCTCCCCAGGGGCCTTCTGCACCTGCCAGGCCTGCTGGAACTGCTGGTACCGGGCCACTGGGTCGGACTTTCGGATATTGCGGGTGTGCGGGTGATCAGCCGTCCGAAGGATCACTTGACGTAAACATAACAGATGATGCTCAAATGTTCATAGGTAGCAGACAAGACCAACAGCATGCATTGGTTGAACGAACAGTACTATTGAAGGACGACAAGAATGTACTTTAGTTTGCATTATGTCAAGCACACAATTTTCAAGTTTTATATGTATTTTCAGAGACTTCCCTAGGAAATAAAACTTCGCAGACAAATTGGGAAAAAATACATTTTTTGTGCAATTTTGGGGATGTGCTCAGCATCAATGTTGAAGGGTCACCAAGGTATTTTGAGTGTCAAACATGAATATATGCCAACAAGCGTCAACATGGTCAATAGGTCTGTTGAGAATGTGATTAACAGTTGAAAAACATGTTATTTATGCCTATGTCACACTGATTGTATGCTCCATGAAACTGGGGAACATCTTTATTCCAGTTGGGAATTTTTACTGACATTTGCAGCAGACTTTGGGCTGAAGATTGGACTCTGAGCAGGTCCAAATAAATTCCTGATTTTGCAGTGCAAGTTCTAATATACATGAATGATTAAGAGGTGAGGTGAAATGGGGTTTAACGTCGCGTCCAAGATTATTGCACTTATATAGCGACGTGCATGCACGTGTGTGTGTGGCTTGTACTAGTCCGGACTGATGCCGATTTATAGTGCTAGCACACTGAGATACCATGCCGCAGTTAACATGAATACCCACAGTATACTGACTCCGAGCTGACCAGTCCTTGTTTTAGCCCTTTAATGCCAAGCGCCAGACAGGGTAATAACAAGTACCATCTTTTAACGTGTTTTGGTATGACGCGGCCGGAGATCGAACCCCGGACCTTCCTCTATCCGGGCGGACGCTCTACCACTAGACCACGGAGGTGGTTGAATGATTTAGACGATTGTGTGTATCTTGTAGATATATTTACTTTGGTACTCACCTGAGGAAGGTCTGGGGTCATCAGGAGATAGTCTATATGGGGCCTACAGATGACATAACAGAAGAATAAGTATCAAATACATTTTGAAAAGATTTTTTAACATTATAACAATCAATAACAACAAGAGTATCTAAAAAAAACCCTTGAATTCAAATTAGAATAAAAAATATTATCCCATTTAAATGTTATTGATATTTCACAACATGTCAATAACAATTATTCTTCATATGAAACAGATTCTCAAGTAATATAACCGTGATAGTGAAAGCCATCTTCTGGGACACTCACATCTGCAGGTGCGGAATGTGGTCGTCTTGTTGAGGCAATATCATCAGAATCTCGTAATGCCAATCGCTGTAGTCTTTCATTGGCATCAATGATACTTCCTTTAAGCACAGAAATTAAGAATAAATTCAATCTGATAATGATAACTGATATCATATCACAAAATGACAGAAGAGAGTATGAGAAACAAATATGCTAACTGACCAAAGGGAGATAATCTGAGTCATGATACCACACAAACCTAAGCAAATAAATCATGCAAGAATACTATCATGAAATGTACATGTCTCTTTAGATTTTTAGATTTATCAAATTGTCTAAAAATATTTGAAACAATTGATAATGTTTATCTTATATAGTATGCTATATACCATGATATACTGCAGACATGTACACAGAAAGGACAGAATTTTACGACCAACACATACCTGCATCACTTTCTGTCATGGATTCATCAATAAATTTTGAGCCTTTGTCATTTTTCCTGCAAAATAAATCAGACAAGTTGATTGACTCAGCATGCATAGTGAGTGAGTTTGCAGCGCTTCTAGCAATATTCCAGACTTATCAAGGCACAGTAGGCAATCATCAACTTATCAAGGAATATTACAGTTATCTAATATTAACAATATTAGATACTTATCCTGCTAAGACTGTCTGCAATTTCCTACTTGTTCTACTTGTACCCAAATCCCACAACACAGTGCCAACACACTCCCAAACCGGAAGCCGCCAGCACGCATGCTCCCCTCATGCCATGCAACTATCACACAGTAGAAAATCCGAACTGATGAAAACTGCAAACCGAAGCCCAGGTGGTGACTGCCATGTTCTAGCAGAGCTACAGAGAAGCTGCGTATTTGTGTAAAATACCCCCCAAAACTATTCAAAACCCAATTACTTTCAATTAGCATACAGAAATGCATGCATTAAATGAAAAACTCAATTGTTTGAAAACAGTACGCGTAAATACCCAATAAAGCTTTTTCAGCATGCGTAAAACGGAGCTAATTTCCAAGCACAATTACAAGCTAATTTACTTTCCGAGTCAAGTCTATATTAAGAACTGTTACATACGTCTAAAACATTAGTTAATTTTTACTCATTTTGGGAAAAACCCCAAAGAGTGAGGAATAGATGAGTGATTGGTTGGTTGGTTGGTTGGTTGGTTTGTTGTTTAACGCCTCACTCAGCAATATTCCCGCTATATGACGGCAGTCTGTAAATAATCGAGTCTGGACCAGACAATCCAGTGATTGACAGCATGAGCATCGATCCACGCAATTGGGATCGATGACATGTATCAACCAAGTCAGCGAGCCTGACCACCCGATCCCGTTAGTCGCCTTTTACGACAAGCATAGTCGCCTTTACGGCAAGTATGGGTTGCTGAAGACCTATTCTACCCCGGGTCGAAATAGATGAGTGAAAAAATATTGGTTACCAATGAAAAATGTAATGACCCAATTAAAATTGAAACCTTCAAGTAAAAAACACAATTGCTCAAAAAGTTATCTGGAGCTCTGTTCCAGACAAGAAAGACTTACATCAGATGGGGTCCACTTCACTCGACACCATCTATACCCCCTGTAAACAGGGAGTGGAGACAGGACAAATGGTAAGCACTGCAGTGAGACCCCACCATGACCGAGTGCACACCACAGTCCTAACCAAGTAAATAACCCCATCAACCCACCCAGACAAGCAATGGAAGGGACATACCCAGAGCTGTGAGAGATAACAACTAATTTCATGAGGATTATTAGCTTGAGGAGGGGCAAGACCAGCATTGTCACAAGCCTCCAGTAAAACCTCTGTTCGTTAGGGCTTTTTTAAAATGTGCCTTGCGTGCAGATCGAACAACTCTGGAGACGGATGGCATTGATGGGAGAGAGGATTGTGTAACTGACTCCTCCACTGTGGTAACTGAATGGGATGAGTGACGGACAGTAGGATGAGGTCTGTAAACCATGCCCGAGCCGGCCAATAAGGTGCGACCAAAAGCAGACTAAGAGTGGTCATCACTCGAATCTTTGGCAGGTCTCGGGGAGGCAACACATGGGGAGGGTAAGCATTGGCATGGAGACCCTCCCAGCTGAGTGACAGAGCGTCATGATTGACTGCTACGTGATCCAGAATGGGGGACACAAACACTGGCAGCTGGTTGTTGAACCTGGTGGCGAATAAGTTGATATTCGGAGCCTCCCCATTGAAGTGTTAGGAGTAAAAAGGCATTGGGGTGTAACATCCATTCTGTGGCAGCTACCTTCCCAGGCAGAGGACAAACTGCACCTTTTAGGTGAGGTGAGGTGAAATGGGGTTTAACGTCGCGTCCAAGATTATTGCACTTATATAGCGATGTGCATGTACGTGTGTGTGGCTGCTTTTACTAGTCTGGACTGATGCCAATTTATAGTGCTAGCTCACTGAGATACCATGCCTCAGTTTAACATGAATACCCCACTCAGACACAGTATACTGACTCCGAGCCGACCAGTCCTTGTTTTAGCCCCTTAATGCCGAGCGCCAGACAGGGTAACAACAAGTACCATCTTTTAACGTCTTTTGTTATGACGCGGTCGGGGATCGAACGCGGACGCTCTACCACTAGACCACAGAGGCGGTCGCACCTTTAAGGCCTCATCTGAGGACCTCTGCAACCCAAGGAAGACAGTCCCGTACTTCCATCAAACCCAGTTCAGAATTGTTACCCATCAGGGACTGACCCCTCACTGAGGACCTGTGACTTCGTTAATGGAGAGGCGAACCATAGTAGTCACCATGACCATCCTGTCTGGCAAGACCTCTTGTCCCTAACCGCTTCGCCGCTGTCCACTCGACAGCTTGCTCTGGACAGATGATGGTCCGACAGACGATCCTGTGATCTACCTGGAGACTAAAGACGACCCCCATATCTGCCAAGTGGCCATCAGGTCCCTCAGTGGACGAACGACAACATGTAGAAGATCACCAGCTATCCGGTGATCTGTCATATGAACTTCTACGAGACAAGCATCCTTCAGATCCCAAGTGTCAATCAGGAGACAACTCCAACGGAGACTGCTCCCTAGACTTAGACTACCGATGATCATCAGGACGCACAGGAGATAGCTGCCGACCCGACAACTGTGATGTAGATGGCAGCATACCAGAAGGTGAAACAGACTGAAAGACCGCGGACTGCAACACACCCGACTTTGAACGATGCACTATAGGCAACGGACGACATCCCACCAATTCCTAAGACTGCAAACCCTAAACAAGCATCTAGGTCTAGGTGATGCAACACAAGCTGACTGAAAGCTGGCGTTGAATCTAGAGGCCGTTGTTGGTGTGGCTGCAGTTGTTGGTGTGGCTGCCGTTGTTGCTGCAAAGTAGACTGCTGTACCAAGGATGTGACTACTGTAGAGATCTGAGCCAACAACTCAGAGGACAAGGCAACAAATGTAAAAAGAATACCTCAAAACACAAGCCAAATGAAAATTATTTATGTAAAAATGCTATGTAATACCCCTACTGCATATGCACACTTCTAAAATGATAAAAAAAACAATTGAGCAAACCTAGAAGGATGGAAAGTCACATAACAAAAGGATTCGAGAGCCAACCGTAAACACCAACCACCAGGGTGGAGAGACAAGTAGGAAGAGGAAGTTACATGGCATGAGGGGAGCATGCGTGGTGGCAGCTTCCGGTTGGGGAGTGTGTTGGCACTGTGTTGTGGGATTTGGGTACAAGTAGAACAAGTAGGAAATTGCAGACAGTCTTAACAGGATACGAAATAATGATATCTTTGTGGTTCACAATTTCATACATGATTGCTAAACTCTTACTGGCAAATGAACATCTCTTGTTTATTGATCCATCACCTCCTTCATTATTGTTCACTATCATGACAATGTACACATGTCTTAAACATCCAGCTGAACAAAAACAAATATATGACAATGGTAAAGCTCAAAGTGTGCTGTGTACATGGTGTATGCAGCAAAAGCAAATTTGGCCCACACCTTTAAAGTATATGTTGTTGCACATATGATTACTATGATGTTGTAACCAAAATGACCAAAGCTACCTTAATGTCTTCCTCTTCACCATCCTTCTTTCTGAGTCAGTCTCTGATACATCATCTCTCAAACCTGGAGGAATGGCATCCCTGTCGAACATGGTGAACATGTCATTGTGACCTCTTGAGGGATTACCAGTTACTGGCCTCTTCAAGACTGGCTCCACTCCATAATTATTCTCCTTTCCAATCCCTCTCTGTAAAATACAGTTGAATTAATCACTCATATTAACTTGATACCTAACATTCCGTAGGACACATGGTAATACATGATGATGGTTACATCACTGCTTGTTTTATGCTGCAATTAGACATATCATGGCGGCCTTGACCAGGCAAACCCGTGATTCAATATTATAAGCAATGTACAACACCTTCAGGTTACAATGACATGCAATCAACCAAGTAACTATGCCTGACCACCTGATCTACTTAGTCTCACCTTTCTACAAGCATAAAGTACTGGAGACCAATTCTTACACAAATGTCACACAAGGTGCTTTGATAGGGAATATGCAAACAAATTCAACAAACATAACCGAAAAAATAATTTGACTGAATAGAAATCATGAGGTTTGTTGACATATTTTACTGAAAGAAATTAACAAAGGAAACAATTATTTTTTATATTTTTGCTATGGCATAGATAAGCATGATAAGGTGTATGAAACCTACAAATGTAATCTGAAAATCACCATGATGACCTTTAAATTCAAACATAATTATACACAAGAACTAAAATCTCCAGTATTGTATAAATCATCCAGACCCAATAGTGAGTGAGTGAGTGAGTATGGTTTTATGCCGCTTTTAGCAATATTCCAGCAATATCACGGCGGGGGACACCAGAAATGGGCTTCACACATTGTACCCATGTGGGGAATCGAACCTGGGGCTTCGGCGTGACGAGCCAACGCTTTAACCACTAGGCTACCCGACCGCCCCTCCAGACCCAATAAGCAACCCCTGGCCAACTTCTAAATCAACCTGTAAGTAATCTTTATAACTACAGGGTAAGCGCCCTCTACTAAGAATTGAAAATTTTCTTCACAGTCCATACTTTCCTTTGGATATCAGATTTTTTAACAGAAAAACAGCAGGGTAGAATTTAAGGGGCATATACTGCCAAGAAACTGCCATCAAACAAGTTTTAGTTTCACTGATGTTTGAACATAGTTTGTCCATTACCCCTAGATCTCTGAAAACAAATTTGACTTGTGTATAGTTTAAAAAAACACCACAATTTTTTAAGCACCTGGGCCCCGTTCCACAAAGCGATCTTAGCGCTAAGATCACTTTGTGGAACGGGGCCCTGGGCTGCTTATTACAATAACTCTTCACTTATAAAATCTTAAATATTTCAAATGCAAAACACTAACTTGTGAATACGCATGCGTTCTGTAGTCAAGGTGATCCTGGTCAGAAACTTCCTCCAGTGGGATTCTCTCTCGCCTCACAGTTCCATGTGCTGAAAACAAGGACAACTGTGGTTGAAGTGATTGTCCTGGTAATATGTTACAGAGATGAATGTGTGTGTTTGGTTTGACTTTAATGCGGCTTGGAACAGTATTACTGCTGTTCCATTGTGTGAGCCCTTATTGCACAGCAATGCAGTCTTACATATTTACAATTCACTTCAGCCCAAGTTCAGGTTTTATTTATCGTGCATGTCATCGCCAAATCTTACAACTGAGATAGGCATCATAGCATAACAAAAAGTTTCCTTTGGTTATCATTGTCATCTTACCTGAAGAGGCTGAAGTGTCAGCAGCATCAGCTGCCAGGTGTGATGATCCACTACTGTTGAAGGACGAATTCTTGCTGCGCTCTTGTTGGATTAACCTCTGGAGGTCTGAAACAGTAATATGGTCAAATATGTATAACAATAATCGTGTAAAAGGCAAATAGCAAAGGACATTTTCATAATTCTTTTCAACTTTCAATACAACATTCTTCTATATTATCACCAAATTTCAAAATATCTGCAGGACATTTTGGATGACAATCAGTCAGTGTCCTAGAAAATGAACCAATTTGAAACCCTGAAAGTAGCTATGGAATGTCGTACTCAAAGCAACTAAGTTATCAATTGAAGCAACATATTTGCAAACCATGCACATCCATTTTTCGACATGCGGATATACAATTATCAAACGGACCTGTACACAGTGGTACACGGATACATATAGGCAGAACTTGCAAAATATTCGATTGATTTTCAGCAAATTTCGCTTCAAGCTAAACCAAGCCTAGCTACCCTAGTGCTACACGTTTCCATTACATTTTTAAAATAAACACTTCTCTACAACAGCACAATATAAGATAAACAAGATATAAAGAGGTGATTTTTCACTATTATGTGTGCATATTATACATTAACCATGTTGATTTGTAATTAATGTATAACTTACCTTTCTTGAATTCTCGTAATTTTTCTTCAGGAACATTTCTGTAACCCAGTCGTGCAAGTTCATCTTGAATTTCCTCCTCCGAAAATTCAATGCTTTGGGGGTCCATTATTGTCTACTGCAAATACATACACACCACGCCGTCACAAACACTTTATACTGGTATTGTACTTCAATATAATTTAAGGCCTAATTGCTTGATAGTCCAGCTAAGTTGCTCACCTACATACCTTTCATGAACAAAATATTTTCGCACTCAAACACGGTGAACAAGTCTAAACACGATGCGGTACGTTTGCAACATGTACATACCTTTCAATTTCACCAATCTCCAGACTATGACAAGAGTTAAACCATCACAAAACCTATCTAAGACACATAAACAAAATACCTTATCTCTCATATAACGCATAAACAGCAAAAAATGTCTATATTTTGAAGGGGATATGTGCTTATTGACCAAGCCTAAGAAGAATTTGCCGCCATGATGTAAACATAGCCGGGCATTGAAATACGTCAACTGATTGGTTGAAACTCGAACACACCAGCCAATGAAATTTCGTTTGACTCCAACTTGTTTACTAAGGGAGATAATCCCATTGTATATGGTCAGGGGACCGGTCAGTGTTTTCGTAAACTGAAAGAAACATACTAATATTAAAGAAGAGCACGTAAAATGACATCAGGCGATATGGTCAAAACGCCCAAGTTTGATAGAACCTGTCCAAACTTTGTTTTCTTCTCGCGATAAAACATTGCTATATGCACATGCCTAGTACGGTACCAAAAGGACATAATATACAAGGTGCAGGCGTGGTGGCCATCCTGTTAGAACAATATTAAATGAACAATTCTTTGTCAGATCTTTTCGTACGGAGACATAAATATATCAAACTTGAATACATTACATGGAGCAGCGTATTTCGCAATCATGCTACACGTGACGATTGCTTTGATATTTGAGCATTCCGTGGCGGATCACGATTAGAATCATGAAGAAAATTTGTCGTAAGCGCCGATTAAATGACTCAGTGGTCAGACTTCGACACGATTTGTCTCCAGACCCTACAGGACCACGTGGCTGGTCTAACGGGTCGTTGTATGTGCAGGCTTTGTCTACAGAGCTTGTATGTGCAGGCTTTGTGGACATTACTTGGGCAGAGCTTCTGATATTCGCTCTATCGTTACATGGTCCATTTTACTGATGTTTGTTAATAATTTGTACATGAAACTCTATCTCCTTAACAGAGTTATTAAATGTACAGATCTTATCAAGAATTATACATTTCCACCCATAATATTTTGTCGTAAGTATAAGACAATTGAGTATCGTCTCGTCGGTGGACACACTCTTTTGTACTCCAAATAATACTGTATCTCTGTTACTTTCAAATGGAGGTCATATCATTTATATTTACTTTCATCTATTTAAAAAAATGGAAGGACAGTTGGAGACTAAAACACATATTCTTGTCTTGTTTCCGACACTCCACATCTGTCACATTTATTACTGGTCTTGATACTACTTTTATGTAAATATATGTTACATGGAAATAGACTGTGAGTGGTCAGACTTAGTGACTTGGATGTTAGTGTGACATCGTACCCTGACGGCGTGTGACGTGGCTCAAAATATCAATCACCGTTTCTTTATGCGTTAAATATTATCTGCAACGCATTCGTATGAAATTGAGTAGATGACCTCTTACAGCCTATTATATTTAAAGAAAATTATATGGTCGGTAAAAAAATGTTATCAAGCAATAAAACACAAACAAGCATTACTTTTGCATTGCATTACCTAGTGGTACTTTAAGTCCTGGCTTCCAGCTGTCCATAGCTATGAGCGCTAATTACTGTGAAGTGTTGGCTTCCATTGTCTATTGCTGATCACCCTTCAGCGCCAATTATCTTCCCTTGTTAAGTTTCCACCCATTGTTATCTTATTACTTTTGTTGTTCTTATATGTTCACATATATGCTACCTCTTGCATTATAGCATTCATCTGATGAAGGAGTAAGCATATACTCTGAAACGTTGTGTTGCTCATAATAAAGAAGTTGACATCCATAAATTCTAAATGCCTTTCAAAGACTTGACTACTTTTCAATATTGGTCTTTCCCATCGTGCACTCCCCTTCACGTCGAGCAATATACCATCAGCTCCATCTTATGGCGTCTACAATTTCCAGCTTCTTAAGTACTGAAGAGCATGTGTATTTCACGGAAAGACACTTTTTGGCTACTCAAGGGACTGGTCAAGTATTCGAGACATTCAGAGACATTTACTAAGTATGACACGTGGCTTGGCAACATGAGATGCGCTAAGCTATCCTATACTATGACCTTTAAACACCTCTAATACTAATCCCAGTACCGACTCAAATGATTTTAGAAAGTGACCATACTTTCCGCACACTCATAATTAGGGTATTCAATACCTGGTAGATTAATATACAACTTTAGTTACCAGACAAACAAAATGTTACTTAAACGAATCGAATTGATGCTGTACATGAATCTGCCTGGTCTGTTAGTTGTATGCGTGACGTGTAGATTGATCTGTGTTGTTTTAGTAGAAAGGAAACCTTTCACATCTGCGATCGAAGATAATTCTTTACTGAAATATGTTCCGTGCTGGCATAAATTCATAGATTAAAATATATTCCCCTTGTGTAGTGCATTAGTTGGATCAAATTTGGAGTTTTACCGATTTACATGATAGAAAATGAAAGATGCTTATTTGTGAAGTGGATGTCTGGTGTCTGAAACCGAAAGCCCCGACAATCGAGCACTTTCTACGACGAAGGCTACAACATTTATGACCTCAGAAAAAAACTTTCAAAGGGTTTTAAAGTAAACATGTAGAGGACATTTCAACTTTTACGAATCAGTGACAAAAATGATGTCCGATGCAATTCCCTTTTGACTTGTACCGTACCCAGGTGAACAATTGACTTACCTTTCTATGAGTTTGTGACTGGCTTCACCCATTGTGCAGGATACGCTCACCTTTTCGCGAACAACTGGTATCATCACTATTTGATAGTGATTCATAAACACATTGTCATGATAATATTATAGTCGGAATCGTACAATCGACCCGGTTTTTAGCAGAGATTTCTTATGAATATGGAAAGGGTTTTGTAAATAATTATGGAAATGTTTTCTGTCGTGGTGCTGTGATTCGAACACGCGATCATAGTTTTCTGGTACGTCTAGGAGACGCACAACGAACTGCGCCGTCTAAAACGACAGGGCCAACTGTGTGACATTTGAAAAAAGACCGGAGTAAAATTAAATAGAAATGCAAAGTGTTTGTTGGAAAAAAACCGTTTGGTTTATGAAAACCGACAGAGACAATAACGATATATGAACTAATTTCTAAAGCAACGATGAAGGATTTGTTTTCATTTTGAGAAGAGCAAACCACACTGACTTTGCTACTTTGAACCATTGGACCTAACAAAAGACTAGTGGAGTTGGTTTGGTTTTGACTTTGCAGTGCTTCCTGGGAGAATTCCCATTCGCTGCCTGGGCTGCGTGCAGAGGGAGCAAGGGCCCTGAGCTGATGATGAGCGTAACCAGCCTGACTGTGCCAGGAACACCCAAAGGCTCTTTGCTGAACTTTTTATTTGAATCCTTAAATAATATAATAGTACTAATAATAATAATTACTTGGACGAAATCAGTTTGCCTGAAAAGTGAAACAGCAGGCTTTCTGGTTGCTGTTCAGGACCACTCAAAACCTTCAATGTGTGATTTTGCATCATAATGTAAATATGAAATGTAGATTATGCAATGAATTTAATTAGACTGTCAGTGGATGCCCAGCTTTGGCACAAACACAGTATCTTAGGCTTATGGTATTTCCACACCACACAGGGGCATGCTCAATAGGTCAGTGTGCATTTGATTTCCTTCTCAGCTCCCCAGGCAGTATACGACCCGATCTGCCCATGAGGTGCTAGAAGGATAACAGTCACATAACCATTTCATCCTACCGGGTACCTATTCAAAGCTGGGTGAACAAAGGCATATCGTCACATTTAAAATAGACAGCCTAAATATCCTTTTTGAGTCCTAACGAATTCTGGTGGTACATACCTCATACGTCCACAGCTGAGAAAGAAGTCGCAAAACACCTTATTTACACAGTGCACGATTGCCCCATCCTCTGTATCCACTGGCTTAAACCTCTGGCATATTTAATAATTTTGCCAAACGTTTACAACGATTACCATCAGCTATATTGTTTTAAGATGTTACCAGTAGGTCGGCATCATTTGATCATTGCAATAACGAAAAGTAACAAATAATGATTTAGGCAATGTTTGCTATCGAATTACAAGTGAATGTAAAATGAGTGAATGAATAAGATAAACGTGTACTACCTACTTGAAATATCTTCGTTCGGGATAAACAAGGCCCCTGCGGTGGATACAGCAACGCTGAAAAACAGATGCAGCCACATGCTCTGCTCATGAGCCAGAACTTTACAGGTGTTCTTTTCAAGAAAGCACCACGTGTTCTAAAACCAGTACAATGTCTTTGGACCCTTCCACTTTCATTGTGACCATGGCTCTTGCATGAAGAATTGAAAAACGCCATGAAATGTCATTTCGAAATAACACTGTATGGGGCATTTCGGCATTTATTGATTTTCTCCTTTTAGAACCTTTGTACATTTAATATACTAGTAGTTTGTTACTCACAATAATCAACCGTGAATTCACAGCAACGGAAAGTGCACGGTATATTGATTTGTGCGAAACACTTAGCGTTCTGACAGAAATTTCATCGGTAGTTTAACACACAAAGCTATGACATTCAAAATGTTTTTATCGTTTTTGTAATCACCACACACTGATCATCGATGGGTTATTCATTCCAATTCACTGCAATTTCCGTCAGATACAATTAACTGTGGAGCACGTTCCTGAACAGAAAATGGAATGAAATGTTCTCATTACATTAGGTACCATACTACCCTTTGCTAGTAAAAACTCTTAACACATAACCTATAGGTTCAGCCAACAATACATTGTTGACTGGTTTTCACTGATGATCCAATTTTGATAAATGTCACCATGTGTCTGTAGTTGGAGGCTGGTGGGTGTTGTTGATTCACAGGTGACTGGGTACTAAAACAGATATAACAATGAACAGTCATTTCACACTGAAATATCATTGTAATGAAATTCGTTGACATGTAATTAATCCACAGTGATCACTCCGCGACAAACGTGTAATTTCAAAAGAGGATTGTAAATGTTTGTATTATTGGTGTTGATGATATACTGCTGAATGATGGATGATGGAGAAACGACCAGTTAATAAAATATTCATGAATGTATTGTGTGTTGCTAAGGAATAGGATTTAGTTTATGACAAGTGTGCACTTTTAAAGATTGTATTAAAGACTGAATTTAAACAGCAATTATCTTCAATGATGTATCTTCAACAATTGTATTTCTGTATTTCTAACACACACACACATATATATATATATATATATACAGTATATATCGTATTTATATATTTATATATCGTATTTGTATTATCATAAATGTACGACTATGATTATTGGAAGAATCTGATATAATACTATTTTAATTGTACCATATATTATACCATAAGTGTAGTATTCATTTTTACAGGGTGTCGTTTTTCATCAGCAACAAGACCTCACACCCGAGCCTGTGTCATGCTTTACCGCATCCGCACACATTCCTGGCTATTAAACACTTATAATAACATTCGTCACGTTCTCACATAAAGGACAGACAATTTGTTAAAAAATTATATTTATGCTCATAGTTTCCTGGTTTTGCAGCTGAAGCTGTAAAAATATCCAATCTCCAGACAAACCCCCTTCCTCCAACCGAATTTCAAATGGTTGGTCTCCAATGCAGTCTGCAGGTACATGTACATCAACTTCAAGATTATGGATTAAGGGAATTATGGTGTAGTACACTATCTTATCTTTATTGTTATCAAAATAAGAGAACAAAATCGCTCCGACACCAAGAGACGCGTGATATACAGAGAATCACACCCTTGAGTATTTTAATATCAAATACAGCAAATTTCTTAGGCTTTTTGAGTGATGATATTCTTGATTTCAATAGACACGAGGGTGAGATTTTATTTGTTAACTAATATCGTTCTTATGAGTACAAAAACAATGTATCAACAATGCAATTTTAAATTGTATGGTAAATAAACCTCAGATAACAATTGCTTTCAGTTTGACAACTTGTCCTGAATCTGTGACGATAGAGATGCAACTATGAACATGTTTTGTGGCAAATGCCCCATTCATCAAGGCATGAATTGTTTCTTTAAGATTGTCATGTGGGATATTGAAAACACAATGTTTTTCACAAAGTGGTCAAATGTAACTTTCTGACTAGAGTACAAATTCTAGTCCTTTATGGGGTTGAGTCCAACCCGAGATCCGAACATACATTCTTAGAGTGAGGCACGTAATCGCCAGCACACTAAGTCAGTGATCTACCCACTCAGTCACAGAGACTTTATTTGCACTTTATAAGAAAGTCTTATCCCAAATATAACATGGGGATATTGGTGCACAAAGCGGGAACAAAACGTGTTCTGATAGAATTGATATATTTTCTGACATTGCAAAACATTAAGCAAATCCTTTGAGATTTTTAGAATCCACATAGTATCAATTCCACGTGTTTTAAACATTTACTGTGCATATAAAGAAAGTACTTCCTTGATCGTATTAAGCATTATTATTTATCTTTGAGACGCGGCTCTGGTGGTATGCTGGATCTTGCAGTATCTCTCTGTGTACAGATTGTAATGGGGCTTTGGAATCAAGGAAAGGACATTTCTCGAGGTTTTAGAGTCAAGTCACAAGTCGATATTACTGATGGGTGGATCATGACTGCTACACCTGACCTTCGTAACACTACGGTCGTCACCAACCAGTTCAAACACTGCATCGCCAATAGCCTTTGCTTCCCTTTCTTTTGAGTGCTTGGTAACGTACCAAAACTATCCGAAAGAATCAAACATTCTCGGGAGATGACGTGTTTGCGTCCAATGCAACTTGCCGCCACGTGCATAGAAGTACATAGAACTTCGATTTCACAGTGTGATTTCAGTTGGTCGTATAACAGTGGATATCATCTACTCCACACTGTGAAAGCGTCGTTTCCGGGTTTGGGGAACATTTCCTTTTTAATTAATCATTCAGCACCGTGAAAACAGCGATAAAGATGCATTAAATTTAACCTTCATTTGACGGTCAAGAAAATTAGGGTCGATAGATCCGTAAACCAATGAATAAAAAGCACGCTTAAAGATATGTATTAGGTTTCAAAAAGTATAATTTATATCCTAAGACTATATTTCAAATGTATGATCTTTCAATAGCTCATTGTTTAGAAACATAAATATAATCATATATATACTAGTGGTTGTTATGCAACGTTGTCACCATGGAACTCAACGTTATGTTATAACGTAGCATTTCCACAACTTATCCACATCATTATATATGTTTTTCTGATCATATTATTTAGAAAAAGAAGAAAAATCAATTGGCAACAATATTGGGTATGTTGCAGATTTTATTTAAGCAATTCTACCTTATGAACACATAGCCTGTAGCATCAGATCCAGGCGCGAAGCAGTGTGGGAAGGTGAGTTATATAACATTGTTCCATTGAAACAATGTGAATTGTCAGTATTTGACCACTTTTATCAGGTATTGTTTCTTAGCAACTCTATAAGGTTTTAACATCTTGGAGACAAGACGCGCGAAGCCTCAGATGTTGTTTCTTAGCAACTGTATAAGCTTTCAACATCGTGGACACAAGATGACCAAAGTCTCGGATATCCCTTCTGTAATCTTCCTGCATTTCCGTGGCAATGGGAATACATGGTGCAGTCACTTTTCTGACAATCTGAAAAAAATTATTAGTATGAATATGAAAACAAATGTGAATTAACTTATATACTGTCTGCGTCATAAAGGAGCACTAGTTACCCAACAGCTCCTTAATATACACGGGAACATGACACAAAATAGTAACACGGTTTAGTCCACACGTAAATGAATCATCCGGCAGCCACATTTATGGATAAAATAGCAGTATTGACAAACATACCCCTTCATCAAAGACAATGCATACATTGTCCGTCTCTACCAAGCCATTGACTAGTCCATTGGAGTGAAGGAGGTCCACAGATCTGGCTAGCTGCTGAGCAATGATTAGCATATTTCTGGCTGACGTCAGTGAACCAATGTAAGAGGACAGACAGACCGAATTTGGGGGCTGGCTCTGCAATAGGAGTTCTTTCTTCAGGAGATGAGGGACAGAAGACTTAGTCCTGACTGTAAAAGCACACACATATAAAGAAGTTATTGTACCGTGTAAAAGTTGCAAGGTACATATGAAAGAAAGAACTCAAAATAGCAAAAGAAAAATCTCCTCGTTTACACATTATAATTTTGATCATTAGTTTACTTCATGGCTACGATAAAATATGAAAACATCTTGGCATTGGAGCTCACTGATCACAACCTGTAAAACATACCTGTTGATCTGGTGGTAATCAAAGTTGTGTTTGCTTTGTTTAGCTGAAAAGACATGGGCGTAAATATTCTAACATAACAGATATGTTATTTTGGTACAGTGTTTTACCACTGCGAACCGATAAATAATGAAACTATAAAATAACCACACTCAAATTATTCAAGCAGCAGGAGTGAAAAGGGTGAACGAACTCAGTAAGAGTTTGACGCCCCCACATTACCTACCTCCTAATCGAATTTAAGGTGCGATGTTTTTCGCGACACTCGTACATCAAGACGTTTTGATCTCAAAACTGTCAGACTTATATAATACGTCATTCATGATTTCTTTAACGTAAATCGAAAATATATGAAAGCAGTGTGTTCATAATACATATGATTGACATTTTTCAATTCTTATAATATTCTGTATATTAAAGGAATTAAACTCACATTACATGAAGAAGTTAAATAATGGATTCTTGGACACAGCAAGAAAAAGTAGGATTATTGCAAAAGGACAACGGGTACTTAAGACACAAAAAGGATATCATTGGTGTTTAAGGTAGGGGTTGCATACTGAGATCGTACAACCGTATTATTCCCAATTGCACTGATTTGTTCAGGGAAAAAGGACATGATAGAAGGCAGCGGGGTACATGGGAATCCATTGTATATTAAAGGAGGGTTGTAAAAAGGCATGTAATGTTATTATCATAATTTTTTTATTCCTGTGGTGTTATATAGTATTTTGGTACAGAAATGTTTGGCATACACGCAATAGACATCATTGCTACCTTCCGTTTTCTCATTGTGTCAACTGCTGAAAGGGTGTAGATGATGGGGTTGAGAGCGGAGTTGATCGGTAGAACAAACACTGCAACCCAAGCGTACACTTCAGAGTTGATCACGTAACCCTGGAGAGCAATCAGACCTGTTGCAAGAATAATTTGATTTTATAAACCCGTCTTATCGTCCTTGAAGTACATGTTTAGTCGAGATGGCAATTTTCCTGTCATGTGCGACAGCAACAATGATGGAATTTTTAGGGAATATTACAGACAACGTTATCACTTATTGTGAAGTGTTATAACTTACCCATGACACAGATGGGGAACCAGCACACAAAGTCTGTCAGAACTATGAAGGAGAGCTTCCTGGCAATGGCCATGTCGTTGGTTGTCCGCCCCTTCCTTAGCTTCTGACTGGCCCTCACTGCCTGGTAGATGATAGCCTGACCCATAGCGATGAAGACAAAACAGATGAAGTTCCAAATGACAAAGATAGCGGTGGAATACTCCCATCCCGGAGGCCTGTTCCTGGTGAGTGGTAGAGCAAGACAGACTCCTGATCGAGAATAGAAAGACTTGGAAAAGTAACTGATCGGCAAAAGGGGAACCCCTGCCATCAGGAAACTCACAATCCAGACTAAAATGCTGATGAACTTCGAACGTTTCTTAAAGACGTCATGGTCTCTCAATGGAAATTTGACAACAAGGACTCTCTCCAAGGTGATTATGCAGAGGAACATAACTGATGTCTCACTTGATAGGGATGCCAGGAGACCTGCCAGCTGACACACCCAGCTGTTTCTCCACGCCTCATCATTCCAGCTGTACACTCCTCTGTAGATGACGTCAGCACTTGCTATGATGATCATATATACACCCATTACTAAGTCAGAGATGGCGAGATTGGCAACAAAAAAATCATTGCTGCGTTTGAAACTCTGCCTATCGTAAATGCATCGACAAATAAGTGACAGGAAGTTGGCAAGAAGAGCTGAAAAGCCCAGAACCCACATGCAAATTCTAAGAACTCCATTCCTCATTAGGTCTGAGCAAGAAGAAAACTCGTCAGCCGCAGGTAGACATTGTTCATTTGGGACACTCTGAGGTTTGAAGCAACAGAAGACATACTTATCACTGTACAGGTAGCTGAGCTTTTCTAAGCCGTAGAATAGATCTCCGGTGAAATCTGTGATAAAATTGTGTGTCAGATCAAGTGTGTGCAGTTTACTGACTCCACTGAAACTCTTGTCTTCTATTGCTGTGATCTTACTGTCAGAAAGGTTCAAATTCAGAAGACTGGATAACCCATGAAACATGTCCCTCTTCAATGTCCTAAGAGCAATACCAGAAAGGTCGAGTGAAGGAAGGCTTGTTAGTCCATCAAATGATGCCGCAGTCAGTTTGAACGTTCCATTTCCATTGAGTAATAATGACATAAGATTTCCCATACTCTGAAATAACCCTTCAGGTAACAAGCTGATGGAGTTCATACTGAGGTCCAAATGCAACAAGTTTTTCAGTCCACTAAGAGAGTTTTCTTCAATCACATGGACTCCAAGGTAGGAAAGGTCCAGGAGTGCTAAGTTTTCCATATGGCGGAAAGTATCATTCTTCAATGTTTTATTAAAACTTCCCCTTAACTTGAGAACTCTTGTATATTTGGGTAGATGTCGAATCATGTCGAGGTAGAACCCAGTACAAGTGATATATGCACCCTCACACAGACACTCATCTGGGCAGCTGGTGTCACAGAAATATTCATCATCTCCTTCAGGACAATGTCGGATTGTATCACACACCTGCTGCCATGGAATACACACCATGTTACCATGACAACGGAATCTACCAGGACAGGTAATATTAGCTGGAAAATAATACAAGAGGCATGACGCTCAGCGATACTTAAAGTGTAAACAAGAAGTGAAGATTCTATTTTATACGATAATTTAAGGTTCTGGATGTTTACAAAAAAAATACTATTACAATTTGTAAAATAATATGCACTGTTCCTTCGTATTCAACAATAACCCACCATCTTTAGATTTTTCCTTATATATTATGCACGGATCACAAATTGTGGGGATCATCACAGCAAGGCACTAAGCTCTATGAGCCTTAATATGGAGAATTAGCGAATGAATCCAACTATGATTGTATAGTGCTTCTTTCAAAGAGAAATTGAACTGTAAATGTCTAGTATTATTTGAAAATGTACCACATTTTATACCTCTATTCATCATAGGAAACAAGGCAAAAATCTCAAAATCGTGTTACTTAAACCTACTACATCCTCTTTCGTCCATGCCGTCAGCACAGTCTGGGCGTCCATCACAGACCAACCTGATGGGGATGCAATAGCTAGAGGGACACTTGATGTGATCTACTGGGCACTCGTGCGTCTCTGGTGCAATGGGAATATACATTTACAAACAAACATGTAATAAATCTGTTAAATACTGAAGTAAATGTACTGTATTTACTGGTATGTGATTTGAATTCGTTAATTTGTCAGGAGTCCTTCTGAAGAGGAGTACAAACCGGCGATGAATAACGAAACGTATAACCTAGGGAAATTAATTCTTCACGTCAGCTGGGGAAAAGAAGAAAAAATAGGATATATACCACGAGCACTGAAAAATATCCTGATGTAGAAAAACATGTTTTCATTGTCACACAGTTGCTATCATCTCAGTGTGTGTATTATAAGTATGTATACCACATCAATGATGCAGAACGGATATCTTACGTGAAGGATAGGTTATGTATATTTGACATCTCATTACAGGGTTATATCCCATTAGTTAGACGTCCCAATTGTTAGACATGTTTATTTAGGCAAAGAGGGAATATACCTACAGGTGTAATGGATCAGTCCTAATTAGATTAAAGTACTGAGTAGGGAGAGGGGACTCACAGTTTAGGGAGTATATATGTTACAATTTCGTTTAATTAACCTAAATTACCTTACTCTCAGCACAGGTTAGATAGGCATGAGATTAACTATGTAAACTATGGAGTAACTTAATTGTCTTACTGTATGATCAGTTGAAGGAGTTGAGTTTAGATTATCTACTCATCAAACAAATAAAAATGATCTTGGGTTACGTATCATTATCAGTGTCGATATGGCTGGTTTAAGGAAAGTAGAGTACATCACCTCTCGGCTTGGAAGTAAGCAGCTGATATTAGATGGATATATTTACAACAGAAACCGCGAGAGGCAAACCTGCACACATTGGAGATGTGTCGTCAAGACGTGCAATGGGAAATGTACGACTGTCGGTGACTTTCTTCGCAATCAGTCGGAACATAACCATCCGCCTGAAGATGAAACCAGAGTGAACTTTGTAAGCAATCTTCGTAAAAGAGCGCGAGAAGAAACCACACAGATGCAGGTATTGTACGAGGAGCAAGTCACTCAAGTAGATGAAGCCAACATCCCAGCGATGCCATCATTTCAGAGCGTGAAAAGTTCACTTTACAGGTAAATATCATCCCGTATTTTTGACTTGGTTAGAATTAACTCTTTTTTTAGGTCCCAGGGCTCTTTAGGGCTCTTAACCATTTCAAGTAAATGAAATCATTATCATGTAACATATGTAACATATGTGTAACTGTTCCTTTGCTCTTTTTCAGGCATCGTCGCAAGACCATTCCAGCGTTACCCAGGTCGCGGTCAGCAGTAGACATTGAAGACAACTGGTCAGAGACAACAGATGGACGTCCCTTTCTACTGTTCAGCGACGGCGACGATGATAAGATCCTGGCGTTCTCCACTGTAGAACAGATGCAAGCCCTCCAGGAAGCTGACACCCTTTACATGGATGGGACCTTCACAGCATGTCCAGGTTTATGGGATCAAGGATACACCATTCATGCCAGAGTTTGCCCCAACACCTTCCCTCTAGTGTTCGCCCTTTTGCAAGATCGTCAAGCAACAACCTATGGCCAGCTTTTTCGACAACTGAAGACAGAAGTTCAAGAGCGACTCAACAGACCACTGTCACCTAGCAAGATACAGATCGACTTTGAACAAGCCGTTGTCAGCGCGATCGCCAGATTCCCAATGCGCATGTGCAACCATTTCAAAACTGATGGACCCAGAACCAACAACCACCTTGAGGGATTCCACAGCCGACCGAGCTACCTACTGCCACATGTTCACCCTAATATCTACAGATTCATTGACATCATCCAGAAAGTCGAGTTCAGTGAAAGGACTAAGGTGATGCAATTGAACTTTGGTGCGGCACCATGCTGCCGCAAGAAAATCTACAGAGACACAGAGAACCGCCTGGTACGCCTTAAAGATCAGCTGCAGCAGGGTGACAAGTCTGCTATTGAGTATTTAGATGCTTGTGGACACTTGCTTCGTCTGGGATAAATAAACTGTAAAAGTTATTAAATGTAAAGTGTACATTACCAAAAACTGTCACAAAGTGTTGTTACAAACTGTATAAAATTTATCAAAATATTAAAGTATCTATTTAAAGCTGCTTTGCTTTGTTTTTGTCAGAATTATCTGGACTATTCCATTTTAAAGTCTGAGGTAACAAGCATAAGGATTAGCGTGCACTCAACCGTTTAAAGTGTTGTTATAAGCTGTCTAACTATTGGGACGTCTAACTAATGGAAGGACACCCATTACAGTTCAGCACAATAATGATCTTACTTGTCTTCTAGGCATTACATGGTGTAATATGTATTGATAAATACTTAAAATGTCCAAAATTTAATGTTTATCGACTACGCATGCCAACCACAATCCTGTATATGTGTGAGGTCACGACATCCTGTGTATTGCTGATAGATGTCGTAATCCAAGATGCATCTGTGTGAAACGTCAACGACTACGCCACTCTTACACATGAGGGAACTTGTGTGAGTTCGTGATGCTGAAATACAAAACATGTTTTGGAACCTGCTGTAACGAAACGGGAATTTTCAAACCGTAAACGTAACAATACATTATCAAAGAAATCGCTTTTGGATTTACACGTATTCATGCTTTGTCGACTTTGCTTGTTATGTTTATGGCGTAATTACTGACCCGAATAATTCTCTATTAAATCTTTATGGACCCCCATGGTATTTCCGGGTAAGAATTGGTCCCAAGCAATATGCCAGCAATACTGTCTCTTATGCCACAACAGACCATATCACAGTCTGAACATTTTGGTCACTTACGTTCTTCGCAAATGAGCGGTCCAACAAGGTGTCTAACTCGGCTTAATCTTAGCTGCGCTCTCATCCATAGCTGTGTTATGGGCAATCTATCCATGTCGTCAATGTATCCACTGTCAGATCCCCATGTGTTGTCATCTGCCCTGGTTAAATCGTCTCTCGTATTGTCACATGCACATCTGTTAAACATGTAATTTGTAGGGTAATATATAAGTCTATGTCTTGCATAATATTATGAGTGAGTGAGTGAGTGAGTGAGTTAAAATTTAACGTCACATCGGCAATATTTCAGCCATATGGTGACGAGTATAATTTTATGAACCATAACTAGTATTTTAACTTAACTGGCAATGTGTTATCAACACATGATGTCAGAATCCCCTGGAGACAAATTCAATGTGGTCCACACCCATCAATGTTTCCTCCAGTTATAACAAGGATGGTTATCTAATATAAGACTCAAATTAATGTGTTTGACAATTTAACCCCGCCTCCGTTTATCCGGACTGGTAGATGAAACAACGTGGCCAAATTGATCAAATGTTTATGCCATTGTCCCAAAACCAGTCTCAGACCAATTCTAGACTGTACATGCGACAATCAAATAGTGACATGTGCATACACCTGGGTATGCAGTCAATCGATGTCAACGATTACGTTTTATTTAGTTAATTTCCAAAATTTTCATATTATTCCACTTGAAAAAAATAATTGTGAAGCCTATCAAAGAACTAAACTCCAAAATAGTAACTTCACATAGAATAAATATCAGAAAAATGCTTTTCAGTGAAAATGACACACAAACTTTACTTGAATGACTTTCTCTGTGCCAGTCAACTTATAGTCACTCAATACCTGTTTAGATGGCAGCGCGACCGGTGTCCATGCAAAGTTTTATTGACATACAATAAATGCTTCTTAAATACTCTCCTGGCTATCTATCACCTTGATCCTTGACCTGACTGGTCAATATGGCAAACACAATTCCTTGGGATATTAAGAAAACATATATGACATCTCTGAGATGTCCAAGCACCTCATCGTTTCAGAACAAAGTGCCGAGATGGCAGTCAATTCAGACAAAAAGCATGGGTATGCTTAATTTCCTAAGCGAAGACATTTTTATATTATCTGGGTTTTTTATATTTTGTACTATCCATTATTTGCGTACTATCCCAGAGCCGCATCATTCGGGGTGATTGGGCTTCATTACCATGTTTTCTGTAATGTCTGCCTTTAAACATGCCTTGATGAGTTACTTATGACTCTTTATGTATCCCACTATCTTTGCCCTATAATTTATGTTTTGTATTATTCTACAAGCATATAATTTTAACAATCTTGAAAACTTTGTAAAGCTTCAGTTTAATCAGCTTTAGTACTAAAAAGTTGGAACAAAAGGGGAAAACTTACTTCACTAACTAAAGTTGAGATAAGGCTTTGAAAAAATGTTTGAACTGTTGACAGAACCCATTGTTCGAATTTTAAACTAAACTACATGTTCGAACAATGGATAGCACTGCATATAAGAAAGACTGGAAGAAAAGTTGTCTTATCATTTTGGCCTTGAAATGAGTTTTTTGGACGGTTTTTACAGATTTTGTTAGTCATAATCCTTACGCAAAATGTGGAACATTCAATAAAGACGTGACGAACGACGGGCTCTATGGCACCGAAGAGCCCAAAGAAAGAAGAACATGTAGACGTACATAGTATACCAGGTTCTTGGTATAAATTATACCAGTTTGAGGTGATAAAAAATACATAGGGCTGTTGTGAACCAATGTCACCCATTTACTGTCGATATTGGAAAAGAAGAAACATTATGCAAACAAAGTTCATTCATGTTTATAGGTCATCACTATTACAAAGGTAACCTACTTTGTATTGTTGTCATTGCAGGCGTCTCTCAAAATGCAGCTACAGTTACTGTTCGGGTCATCGTAAAAGTAGTTACGTCTTCCACGTATGTCCTTCCAGTTTGAGCGGCCCCTATAGAAGTAATACGCCTGTAGACAGTCAAAGTGAACGTGTTGCCGACATGCGAGGGACGCCGACTTGATGTATTTGATGACATTATTCGGGACATCATAATAGAAGTCCTTGAGATACCCTGGTTCCTTTGTCACTGTCCAGTCCTCCAAGTCATGATGGATGAGTGTTGTTATCATTCCTTCTCTCATGTCGAATTTACACTCCACCGAGTACGTCTCTGGAAGAATGTTGTTTAACATAAATCTTAAAGTTAATTGATAGTATTAAACACACCATATGGTTATAATCAACAGCAAGTAAACATTGTCTTGGTATTTTAATCATTTATAAAGTAACTCATTTAATAAATTGATAATGCTACTTAATAAAATAAAGAACACATGCAAATGACCCATACTGTCCTCAATCGCAATACTATATTCGCCATTCTCCCTGGACCCAAGGGCATACCACGCCCTACAAGACGGCTGACTGTTTGTGGTACACTGAGTATCCTCGTCTTCTCTGTACTGTCCCACACAGTCCACAAACCCGTCACACACCCTGGCTGGGGGCAAGCACCGTCCGTCATAGCACTGGAAGAAAGGCTTCCGACATGCTGCCTCTGTGAGAGCAAATATAAATCTTCATACATTTGCAGGTCAAATTTGATGTCCTAATTCAAGAGCATTATACCTGTATTACATGCACAATTCGCATCTACACTCATTGAAATGTAGCTTTGAGCTGATATTTGTAAACGATACTGAGCCAAAGGAATATAAGCACATGCACACATAAAAAAACAGATGTCAATTTGTGACAATTTGAAATTGATAAATGTTTTTATACCTGATATTTGGAGCAATTGTCTACAGTTTGATAGTGGCGTCGATGTCAGTAATGTATCATAATTACATGTTTGGCTAATCAATGTAAACCATTTGCGATGAAATTTTAGCATCTATTATTCCTAGAAACACACATACCCAAAATGAATGTTCAGATACTACTGTTATTTCAATGGAACAAAAGACAAAATGTCTACATCCTATGGCCATATTTGAATTCAGAAATGTGATTTTCCCACTGCAATGCGCTTCATCTGATCCGTCAACACAGTCCTGCAGGAGGTCACACCTCTGGTCAGCTGACACACACTGTCCACTGCTGCATCTCCACTGGTCAGAGGAACATTCACTGGACACTAATAAAAGATAACACTTGTACACATGTAATTCATACATGTATGAGTCCAAGCTGCAATGCAGTAACGTATACACACACAAGCATGGTATATTTGATCAAGAAGTGGTAAGAATAGTGCCTTGTCACTGTAGTTATCCTCGATATGCAGTCAATATATATATATATATAGTTTCTACAGAAAGCCCTGAGGAGAATATGTTTACAGAGACGAAAATGCTATTTCGGATGATTTATAACATGCTATATAATGTATTGTGAAAAACAGAACATGTGTTGAGTCCACTACATACTAAATATACGCCAAATGTATTACATTTGTTAGCATAAATGGCTGAGTAATGGCCACAGACATGTTTTACAAAGTAGCTTCTGCCATGATGAAACTCTTAATGAAATTTCATCTTCAGTTCAGTGGTTTCTGAGGACGAGAAGTTAAAAACTGCCAACAAGTGCAGTTTGAAAGAATTTGAAAGCATGGTACAAATGCAAAAGTCGACGTGAAATATAGGTCACAATTTAAAAGGTTGTAAAAATTATGTTGAGTCCGGACATATAACATAAGTCATTACATTTTGATCAACACTCACTAATTGAATTTCATTGTAATTACTGCATTCTGATTAGCTGAATTGGTCACGTGTCATTGTATTAATTTTCCAATGAATGTAAAAAAGTATGCCACGCCCGCCGATGCGGACTACTCTTATCACTGCGGAATGTCGGAGAATCCCAATATTACGTCTACAGTCAAGGGAATTATCCAAACCATCCTTTGACACCGAAGGCCGAAAAGGAATGAAACAGCAAACGTACAGGCTCGCTCGCCCGTGTTCCACATATTTCTTTGGTTTTCATTTCTAATCCGCATTTTTTCCAACTGTCTTCCTGCTCTCAGGGAACTAATGTTTGAATCTGGCGGTAACTGACCATGTCATTTGAAACAGGCGCCTTCTCAAGGATATATTTGTCCCCGTTCGTTACAGCCTGACTGTTGCAGTTCGTCTCGCCTCTTGCCTTGATTGGCAGGTTCTTGGACTAAGTTTTGATCCTACTCTCCGTTGATTGGCTACTGACTTTGTGGGCGTTATGTGCATAAAATAAACAATCACCTGAATCATGCCACTTCACATTATATATTCCTACACCTGGAATGTTTATCAATCGCGTCACTTTTGTCAGCTTTGATATATTCTGTTTCGTTAAACTATTGTACATGTTTACGTTGTCCAATTTAATTATAAGGATTGACTGTAGATTGTTTTCGGTTCAATGAGGTATGAATCGAAAACCCGATGTGCAAACGCAGAGTCAAAAGTCAATTACTAATTGAGGAATGACCATGCATTTTGTTTTCAATAAGGCTGTCTTGGCGTAATTATATGCCATCTTCGCTTTTCTTACCACAATTTGTTTCATCTGATCCGTCCTTGCAGTGTTCTTTGTAGTCACAGTAGAAGGCGAAGTCAACACATCCCCCATCAGTGCAGGTGAACATGCCACGTGGACAGGGGTCTGAAACACAAATGCAATCAAAGCATTATTGTTCCCCTTCAAGTCTAATATGTAAATGAACACTATCAACATCAGCCTACCTGTAGAACAGTCATCTTCATCGCTCCCGTCAGTGCAATCCATACTTCCGTCACACGTGTACAGTCTCGATATGTACTCGCCGTTGGCACAAGGAAAATAATAGCCGGTCTTTGCATCACTATCACTGCCGACAGGAATGTTGTTCTCTGCAAATGTTAATATGCGTGAAACATGATCAAAGAAAGTGAATTGTTTTATATTTGCAACATACTAGATAAATTTTTGAATTATCAAAAATAAACAGCGTTCATGTACATGCAAAAAAATGTCGGCATATTCACATACTTCCACGCTATCAAATTTCACAAAGAAAAGTATCATCATGGACAAAATAACAATTCATATTGTTATTAGAACAAACGTAAAGATACAAAATGCATACATTTTGAACAAAAGAATTAGGGATCGTTATTTAAAAAATCATGATCCCTGACTTTTTGGGTCAGTGTACATCGCATAATAGTTTATTGTGAGTACACGATATTTACACTATATCAAATTTAACTTAATAAAAGTAGCGTTGAAGTATTAGTTGAAAACGACATTTTGAAAATATGATTTGAATTATATAAGAATTCCATGGAGACACCGATACTGGGATCATCAATCGAATGTTTCTGCACCAAAGACATTGTACTGTCAGATTATATCAAACTGTCTAAATGTTTCTAAATGAAATCCATCTAAATCGAGTGACTAATACACATATGGATCTGAACGAGGTGTCGCATATCAAAGAAATAAAATCATTACCTTAGACATATATCATACTTCATAAAAGAGGTAATCCAGCATAAAAAGGATTTCGTTATGTATTACGTTACTACTGCATTCGAAAACGTTTATTTGTTGACATGTATTAAATACTGAGACACAAAATAGAACCTGGAGCAACCAATATTCTGTTTGACGTCTCACAGATATACTGTGAGATTTTGTCAAAAGCACATGCAACATCGTGCCAGTTAGTGGTGGATCTGATGCTTGAGATGACCATCATGGTACACGCCTCTCTCTCAAACCCGTCGGGTTGGGATGCTCCATCAGAGTCCCCAGCATACCTGCAAATGTAATGTAAAGTTTAATATAAACATTTGTTTATCAGATGGTTCGTAAGGGGGACACAAAATCTATGTAAATGTCCATGTGAATGCAATACTGTTCATGAAATTGATAAGATGAGACTATTGTCTAGCTGCTAGGTATAACAATGTTTGGAAATTGATTTTGTACTTTAAATATATAATTGGAAGTTTCTTTTTATTTCTTTATTACATTGTTGTATTGAGGTGCATTACCATTCAATCCGCGACAATGGTTTTCCATCCGTCCACATGTAACGACCGTGACTTGTTTTTTGTAGCCCTGTACAAAATAAAGCGAAACACTTACAGACATATAACAGATAATATGCTTGTATCATTTTCCCCAAAAGTGCATCACTATTTCAAATTTCAGGAACCCCGAACATTTTGATTTTGCTATACGAACACCATTACATCAAGGTTGTTCAAATTTAGGAAAGTGTTGCGGAATGTGGACTACTTGTTGCTGCCAAGACTCAGCATATTGCTACCATCTTGTAGGTCATACAATGTAATTGTAGGTTGACAATAACAACCTTCGTCAGTCATTCAAATATGGACTAAAATATCGTAAACAGCCTCCTACCAATTTGGACCACAATGCTGTCGAAGCATATGCCAATACACGGGCCAAGAGAGAAGAGGAAACTGTTGAATGTCTTTCAGAGTGGGTTAAGTCATTGTTTGATATTGTCATTCGTAGAATGCAAAAACTGAAAAAGAGGAAACAGAATGGGAATAAACCAATTCTGTCCCAGCTAGTTGTAATCCAAAGTCTGGCTGCCCAACATGTTAAGTTTGTAGTTGTTCCCAAATACAAGGCATCAAATAACATAACCATTATATGTAAGTATCACTGCATTAAATATTTGATCAAAGAACTTTAGTGTATCTCATATCATGTGGCATATAAGGCCAGAATGTTGAATGAGAAAGAAATATGCCAAAAGTATGCATCAGTACTGACAACTTATGGTTTGATTCCACAACCTGAAGGCATGTCCATTCCTCATTTGTACTGGATTGCAAAGCTCCATACAGATCCGTACAAAGAAGAAATAGTGCTGGGTCGAACAAATGGACCACCAAATCCCCGTCTCAACGACTAACCACAATGCTTAGTACAGTCAAGAACATTCTTTATATTCACAGAAAATATTTGCGAAAAGGGGAATAAATACCATGTAGATTCTCAAAAACTCAAGGGCGTTATCGAGCAATATTCCTGTAGCTCCAGCTCTTGGTGTCTACATTTCACAATTTTTTAGGTACACTCGAGCATGCTCTTTCTATCAAGATTTCAATGACTCTTGCTCGGAAGATGTTTGATCATGGCTATAACATTCAATGATCAGTAAAGTTTTGAAAATGTGGAGGACATTTCCATACTTGACGCATCAGTGACAAGAACGATGTCCGATAAACCTCGATGGAGTAAACTACCAGGAGTAACCCAATAATAAACATATACTGTATACCATGGTTGTGATGGTCGTGATACGAAAACATATTTTATAGGGCCTGGTCCCAATCTTGCAACGTAGAGACAAAACCGTACCATTGATCTTAAGCGATCATTGACATTGTGTCATTGGTACCACGGTTACAAATATTCAAAAGAAAAAACTGATTCTATTTAAAAACATGACAGAAACCAGATTGTGAGCTACTATTCTTTTACAAATGATTTATTATACATACGGCCACACTGTAAATCTTCAAGAACCCATCCTTGCTCCTAAATCGATGTGTAAGTAATGCTTGCTATATCAATAAATTCTTTTACCTATGTATGTTTCTTGCTCAGCGAAAAGGTTGTTATTAAGAATGGTGGAATGGAGAAACTTCGTCTCATCATGGTCGCTTATGCTGACAAGATGTCCCCCAGCGTAAATGCAGCGTTTCTCAGCATCTATCCAGGTGAGACCGTCATCACTTGTGATAAAGCTGTAGCAGCTGTGCCTATGCTCATACCAATTCTCGTTACAATGACCTACAAATACATAACTCGGTCTAAATAGGCATACAAAACAAGCACCTTTACTGACAAACATGTTGTCAGACTGCACATTATTCATAACAACGATGCCCACATTATTTTATATATTGGTTTAAAAAAATGAAGACCAAATATTATTTAGTGAGTTTGGCAAATAGAGACAGTGCTCCAGTTCTCGTGACATACACCTGTAAAATACATGCTTGGATCTAAATTGGCATATGAAACCAGCAACTTTTAAAAAAAGAGTGTTATTAGTCAGCACCATATGTACATCAATGGTGACAACATTGTATAATGGTTTCACAAACGATGCTTATATTGTCTGCCGGAGACAGTGAGAAATAGAGAGACATTTGGAAAACATATTTTTGATAACGTGTATATGTACCTGACACATTCAGGAAACTAGCACTGAGTTCAATCGTTTGCAGTGTATACTTCAGTAAGAACCCTGTTCCAGCAGTGTCAAAGTCAGAATAAAACTCCACATCCATAATCTCCCAACTACTCTGTATTTCTCCAATCGGTCTTCTATGTTTACAAAACTTCCCCATCAATGTTTTCTTTCTTGCACGGTCAAGGTCATAGAGGCTGACATGGTCTCCCTCACATTCTCCATCAGCTATGACATCAATCATATTAAATTTCACAGTGACAAACTGCCCAGTCTGACCCTGTATTCTCCAATGGCAACTGGCCGAGACCGGGTAAAAATTGGGGAAGGCAGCACTGGAGATGTAGCCACACTGGTGAGAACACACGGCCTGTCTGGAGCAGCTGGACTCACCCTGGCCACAACCGCCGCAGTCTAAAATTTCAAGAAGACGTAAAAAGTCAATGGCATTGCAGACCTACTCTAGAAATGAACTGTTGAATCCAATTTTATAACATAAAAATAGTGCTACGGAACCGTAGCTCGCCTTGATATGAAGTCAACAATGAGAACAACAGACACAGACCCGAAAACATGTTACACATAGTATCTGCCGACTGACGAATACAAATATGAAGTCATCAAATAAAAAATATAGCCAACTCACTCGGTCTAAAATATGGTTTGTATAACAGACACATTTGTGTTCGTTAATATGACTGCCGAACCAAATGGCCTAGTAATGGCCATATGTACCTTTTGCAATATTTCTTCTATAGGAGTCATATTGAAAATCGGATTCGAAGCTCCTGAGCATATTGTTAAGACAACCATGTAAAGATTCAACTTCATTTGTGCAATGTTATCTGTGGAGATGACTTTGGAGAAAATCAATGGTCGTGGTACAAACTTGACTTTCCATAAGGTGAGTTAACCTCCCACATTTAGCATAAAAATCATTAAAGCCAACTGTTCACCACTTGTGTGTTGGAGGAATATTAAATATTTTATGTATTCTGCATTTCACGCTCTTTCATTTCCTTTTATATCCGGCTTTCTGAGAAGATATTTAACAACATTTGTATCTCAAGCCCTAAAGAATACCGACATGTATCAAATGTTCATCCCAAATCTAGGTGGTTCTATAGAAGATGTTTAACAGGCACCAGTCATGACAATAGTGAGTGAGTGATTTGTGTCTAGCGCTGCTTTGAGCAGTATTCCAGGTATATCATGACGTTTCAGCTTGTTGTGCCAGGTCACGGACGTTTACTACTTTGGTAAAACCCACGAGGAGCACGTGTACGGTGCAACAAAAACTAAACATATACATACATATTATGTGACGGGTTTACAGCTTCTCTACATAGACATCTGGGTTGGCCTCTCTCAACATTTAGAAAACTTTACCTGTTGCATCCACTTTGATGGTAAAACCTCGAGCATGTGTTTCTTTTATTCGGGGACAAGCTATCAAGTTGATCTCGACCTCGTTCGAAGAGGACAGATAGCGTGGTTCCTCGAGGGTTTCAAATAAATGACCTTTCATGAAAGCAATGATATGGTTGCCACTTCTGTGCCGATCGTAAATTGTCAGCGTGTCCTCGCAGTCAAAATAAGCGGATGTTTCCTGTATAAGTAAACACAATTAATCATTACAATGATGCGACAAATTCGGATATTTATTGAAGCAATAAATATGTGAGATATTTGAAGATGCTATTGATTTTAAAGTACAATAAACAATAAACTCAGATGCTGAAAGATTAATTGCCAGTTGCATAGCTACTATTTCTTTAAAGGATGCCACACATCCTAGACTTTCCCTTCATGTATACTTAAAAACAGATTATCACAGTCTCACATAGTGTTCTTCCTTTGAAGCCAGATCTACATCTACAAGGTCAAGTCTGACAAAGGTTCCTTCCTCAAGTCTCACAATCCATGTACAGTTAATGTTCTCTCCATAGTAGAATGGGTACGAAGGGGAGATTATCTCGCCAGTGTGCTTCATGATGCCACCACATTTATATACATCTATAGAGGTATCTGAAGTAAGAAAGAGCATGTCATACGTCATTAGCTTAATAACGTTTGCCTTGTTCCTAAATTAAGAAAAAGGATTATACAAGATTCAGACTTCAGACTTCAGACGTCATTTTAAACATTTATCATTCAACATAGCACCATGAAAATAGTTTTATGCATTCAAATATGATTTGAATACCTCGACAAAGATTCAAGTGATGATTGGTCATGTTTTTGAAGATGTTTTCGGAGTTTAATTCAGTAGGATGAATAATTCACTGCTAAATGTGTTTATTGAATTTGCATCTAGACCCTTCACTTCCACAATGAATAAATCATATACCATTTAAATGTAAATGATGATTGAATATTTTGTATAATACAGTCTCAGAAAAATACGGCTTTATGTTGCTAAACATCTGTTTGCACTGGTGATGTTGAACATAGATAGTATCAACTAAGATGTTGCTCTATTTCTGTAGTATATCAACTCTTCATAGTGAACAGAAACATATCTTGAATAGACACCTAGTTTATTCCCCTTGAATCACACTCAAACTGCACTCAAAATAGCACTCAAACACCATACCTGTATATTCAAGTGAGAGTAAGAGAGAGTTTAACGCTACTTTGAACAGTCTTTCAGTTGTATCTTGTGTCAGTTTAATGAGGGAGAGCCCGACGTGATGCAGGTCTTTTACCTCAACGATACTCGACAGGTCGACGTTTACCAGGTCGACAAAACACACAAACTCATGGTTCTGTTACGCCAAGGGACATAAACAGCCGAGTTGTGGATTCGAACCAACTATGGCAGGTTTATGGCACGTTTAGGGGACGTGCATCTGCCAACCGAATTAACGCGACAAAGCCAGTCATCACACGACACATTTTCATGCGTAAGTTTTCTGAACGTTTGTTAACCAAAAGTAAAAGGGAAGCCATTCCACCGAATGTGTGGAGTATCACCTTTGACCCAACTGTGAAGTCGATTATTCTGGTGAGATAGCAGCAATTTTTGGTTTCAACAATATCAGTAAATAGTCTATCATATCTGGACCACTTGATTGTCTGGTTTATTTGCTGGATGCCATCGCGTATCAGGAGTGCTGCTGTGCGGCGTCAGGTAACATACGCTTACTTCTTTATGCAAATTGTGTGAGTCGCGGGTGTTACCGTCAGGGTAGGACATGTTTACCCTTTTCGCGAACGCCTGGTGTCATCACTGATTTTTAGTGCTCAATTCATATAATTTCCCCCACTATTTTGCCTGATGGAATTCGTTTCGGTCGATGATCGAGAAGTTTTTTATTCTTAAAGGGATATTGTAGCGTACTTCACTGAAAAGACAATACCTACACTATTTAAGTTATAAACAAATGTGTTGTATTCACGTAATGATGTACCTCTCATGCACACATCTTGTCCATATTCAGTTTCTGGTCCATATCCTATTTCCCAACGGTTTCGATAATGGCGGCTGTACCTGGTTCCAATCAACATGATGCACTGCTCTTTGTGAAACTGGTAAGCCACATAATAATTTCTGTTTGATGAGTAATAACGGCGACACGTCTCCATTGTCCTGTTCTTTATGATATACGGGTTGATATTTTCAACCGACGGATAAATTCTGTGCGTGGGCATCCTTTGTAGGCCAAGCTTGATATTCTGCTCCCGGCATTTCACATCCAAGTTCACTGCGTACAAATACATGTTGCAACTAATGCCATTAATGCCGTATACTAGTTTTACTGACAGTGATAATTGTTCGAAATAATATGCAGGGAAACCGCGTTAATCCATAATTTCCACTGACATCGAACGGGTTAACATCTTTAGTGGATAAACGAGTCATGACCGTTCCTGGGAGTAACTGCCCATAAGGTGTTTTTTCCAGACTAACATGATCATTGTATCTGCTGTTGGAACTTCATTCGTCATCTTGATATTAAGAAACAGACTTAATGTCAATATACTATACCGTTTTACTGTCATTTAACATGAAGTGGTTACCAAGGATTTATTGATTTAACTATTTATGTAATAAACACAATATAAAACTTTTTTGTTTGGAGAAGAACTAGGCTTACCTCTTTTTGGACAGCCAATTAGGTCAAATTTAACACAAGCAGGTGGCTTGTCCCGAAACAGATGGAGTCGAACAATCTTTGTGAGTTGTTTGGAAAGTTGGAACTTCTGAGATACGTATGACGGATAAGTCGGGTTAAGATGAAAAACCTTAAATGCAACATTTTATTATATACTTCATTAAAAAAATTGAGAAAAGTGATATTTTCATTGCAGTGAACATAACACTTGATATTTCATTGCAGTAAAAACAACGCTTTGACGGAACTCTTGTCATACAAGAGTGACGTCCCCTCAAATTGTCTCCCTTTATAGTAAGTGTCTAGCCCGCAAAATAAGTGTTGCCTTCCTTTTTACGGTAGTTCCACATTGACATGGAAATATAATGATACAAGCACATTTATGGAGCGAATATCGCGCCATGCCGTTTGTTATTCTTCTGAAAATGTTTTGTTATAAACTGTTAACATCTCAGTTAACTCGTTTTGCAGAGAGCAATTTTGGTTACTTGACCAGCGTGTATTCTTTCGTCGTATTGCGCAAGAATAATTTTGGGTAAAGTTGATTTTGGATATAAACATATCTAAATATATAATACATGATGTTTGTGACCCTCAGTATTGTTTGTTACTTTTGTTTATATTTTTAAGATTTTGCAAACACGAAACCACATATATATATATCTTGTACATACTTCTTTTAGTTCGCTCCCACAACACGCTTAGTCTTATTTGGGAGTCTTATTCTGACCTGGAATCTACACGGGTATAAATACTTAACATCACTCAGATCTATCTTAGTCAAGGTTAATTAATTAATTATTCAAGAATTACACATACAATTCACATAGGACAACATGTCATTTACTTTTTCGCATATATTAATCATATGTACCCAGGGACGTAGGATTTAAAACTTAAAGTGGCATTTCTTCAGTAGTGTTATTAAGAAAGATATCTGTCTTCCGATCTAATAATGTGACTCTTGATAAAGGAGACGACACGCATACTTCAGTAATAATCATCCAATCTGAAGTGCAATGTCGCTATCTAAGTGATACTTAAACATCAGCTATAAGCACGCTTATTATATCCCATTGGATTTCAATGGATAACGTAATATTGGCCATAACAGTTGTCATTGACAATCTTGAGTATTTATTTGTTTTCTTTAGTCACTGCAGATAAGCTTACAGTCTCAAAATTGATTGGCTCTGATGCCTACATCCAGTCACACAGTATAGTTAATATTTCGATATGTACTACCTTGATGTCGCCAATACTATTTAAATGGGCTTTGAGGTTGTGATCTTTCATGCCAGTCCACAGCGTAAAAGCATTTATGAGAAACTCATTTCTCCCATCAGACCATCCTTGTATGACAACCTGTTCCAGAATCATCGGTGTCAGGAGATCCACCTAAAACCAATTGTTTCAAATGTCATGAACCTTTACAATCCGATGTCAATTCTAATATAAAATTACAATAAGGTCGTTCTTTTCTGTTCGCTTAAAACCTCTTTAGAACACGAGATACCTTATGGACAATTTCCCTGAATATATTTCAAAATACTTTTACCAACCTTGTTTCCGTTTAACGCTCTCGCTCATTTTGAATAAGGGCGGTGGGGTAGTCTAGCGGTTAAGGTATTCGTTTGTCACACCGAAGACCCGGATTGGATTCCCGACATGGGTACAATGTGTGAAACCATTTTCTGGTGATATTGCTAGAATATTGCTAAAAGCGGCGTAAAACAAAACTCACTCACTCATTTCGAAGAGGCCTTGTGCTTGATCCAGGTCGGTTTTCCTTTTCTTAAATAACTAAGTGTTTGATAACTATGCTATTAATATCCTTGTATGATTAGACAATTGTAACAGCAAAAGTCAAATGACTTAGATTCAGTCATATTTACATCAATTGCATTACGGGGGCTTGATAGGTCCTATCGCTTCTAAAGAAGTTGTCATTAAGTTAGTTGGATTGTGCAGTTGTATCATTGAAGCGTAGTTGCGATGTGATTTCCAGGATGTACCTGTATGTAAGGATCTGTATCTCCCGACTGAGCACACCATCCTGTGGCTCTGTTTAGTCTTGCATGATATCCATAGTAGCCGTTAGCACCAGTGGAAGAACTGAACTGGAAATCTTTAACATCACCAGTCCTCACACCAAGGGATTTTCCACAGCCGGTTGCTTTGAACAATGATTTCGTGAAGAATGATTATCTTTATCATAGTTGAAATTATTCTTGGGAGACATTTGCGGGCCAAAACGAATAAAAAAATCTTTACGAACACTAAACCCAAAGGAAATCAATATAGATGCAGAAACAGTAGAAGCTCCATTCCAATCTTTTCCTGAATGTCCCAAAATAATACAACCATGTATCATGACCACGTTTGACGTTACCTAAACCAGTCACAGCTGACATGACCAATATCTGTCTATATTCACCTCATCCATAACTTAGCCATATGCCTTTAGCCACCCTGGCTATAAACATTTCTTGGTCTGCTGAAAATCATATATGTATATACTCTGAATTGTTCTCTTTCTACGTCTTTCAACTTGAAAATTACCTTGACGTGTGACTTGACCTTGCCAAATGGCAATTGAGAAACAGTGTAAAATCTTTTGTAGCATCGTGAATAAAACAAACTGTCCATATTTTGACAATGATAGACTCGTCAAATTCCCATGACAAATACCAAAATTATCGTGTACTCCATCTGCCTTGTTCATATTGAGTGACCTTGACCTTCAATGACACGATCATACCGCCTGTATTTTGTTAGTTTTAGTCGTATAACTGTCATAAGCCTGGGGCTGAGTAAACTAAAATGCATCAACGGCTGTGGTAGAGCTCATATTTACGCAAATACAGTTGGCAGCTTCATAACCGGACAGAAACCACATTGATCACTGACAGATAAACGTACCTTTGCCTCTGATTACAATTTCTGAGGTTTCAAACTGTAAGAACATATTCTGGATGTAGTCAGGATTATAGCGCACGAAGTTTTGCACTGTGACAAAGGAACCAATCAATGGCCGGCGACACTGAAAGCGGAATACAGAATGCCTTCCGAGGTCAACTGGTCCCTCACAATTGTAGGCTCCAAAGGTGAGAAAGTCCCACTGATGTCTGCTGACATAAGTTACGAGCCGAGGGGCGAGATATGGTTCCCAGGCTGCAGGTAGAAGGAACATATCAAAGTGGCATTTGATTGTCAGTTATTGATCACACTGGATGGTATAGAAAACATAATGACATAATCTGTCCTTTTTATGTCCAGTTTGGAAGTTAGGATAGAAATACTCTCAGTACTACATACTGATCGGCTTAAAATGTAAAAACATAAAATTGTCATATTTCTCAACATCCCTATGTAATCAGTAGGTCCTAAACTTTTATGTACGAGTAATTCGGATATATTAAATATTTACCTGTGTAATAGTTGGACATAAGGGTTATATGACTTGCCCACTTGTGGAGCAATTTATGATAAAAATGACACACAACAAATAACATAGACAAGATTGATATATCATCGATGTATTCATACTCAGGTAAGGATAATATTGATGATAAAGAGGATGACGATGATGACGATGATGTTAATGTTGATGATTTTGATGTTTTGGGGTACTGGTTGTATTCAGGTACTTTTCCATGTGAGTACAACAACTTCTTACCGCGACTCCTTTTGACCGTGATCGAGTTTATCTCGTAATCTTCATTGAAGTCAACTTGTACCCAGGGTTCTACAGTAGGTCGTGCAACAACAAAGGATCCTATAAAAAATATTATTACATATGTGTACAGAAACCCGTCAAGGAATGCACTAGCCAGTCGAAATTCTACTAACCTTACATTTGATATACGCACAAATTAGAGAACGTAAGAAGAACATATTCGACGAGTGGTTTTCTTTTACCTGTCCAACGATGAACTATGTTTGCAACTGGATTTTGTGGAAGGGTCGGAGGAGAACGATAAATCTTCTTGTCAATGACGTTTGGTAGGTCGTAAGAGGAATCTGTAAATTGCAAAATTCGTTTGATTTACATGTAACATGTCAAACACAGGTGAGACACACCCATTTTATTATCATTAAGTTCACAATCACAAACTACAAACAGTTGACCGCGACAATCCACTTCCAAAATGTGTCGAAAAATCGAACAGGATTGATTTTTTTTCTCTGTATTTAATAGGTCAGGAATTTGAAGAACAAGGAACGGATGAAAGTATTTACATCTTACCACAAACTGGAATGTCACAATGATCCAGACTGCCACTGACAATACAGTATGGCCTGGACTTCACATCAGATGCTTGCCGACAGAAATTATTTGCTCTTTTCCTTCCTTCCATTGGGTAAGAACGTTTGTCCCATGTCTGACAAGGTCGACCTGCGGCGGTTATGTTGACCCGACCGTTGTAGGACACGCCATTGTCCTCTTTGTACATACACTCACGGCGTTCTGAAAATATCACAACATAATCCATCAAGTGTGAATGATCGCATCATTGGCTTATTATATTGATAGGTTAACCTTCCCTTCCCTTTTCGTTAACGCCTGGTATCATCACTTATTTTCAATGATCCATTCATATAATTAGCTTTTACGCTCACTTGAATCTGTTACGTCGGATACTCGAGAGTGGCTATTCTCTGGCGTTGACTTCTTGCATTTTCTAGAAGTTCATTGGTCATGATATTATACATAATAGTAATATTAACACCAATAATAATGATAACCAATTATAATGGGAGGACGTGGTTTGATTAGCATGAAGTCTCTTCGAGATAGAATTGTATTGTGCACTTTTGCGCACATTTATTTGTCTGATGATCCTCTGTGTGAAGCATGTCGAGACTCATGATGAAAACAAGACATTCCACAGTTTTTTTAAACGAGCCAATGATGTGGGACATAATCTCAATGTCAATGTTGATTTTGTTGATGGTTCTGTACTGCTAGACGGTACCGAAATGAGTGTCAACCAAGCGAGGTGTCATATCAAACCGGCCAAGACTCAGGTTTTCAAGGAGAGGCCATCTGAACGACGACTGCATAGAGTATATGTGCAGTGTGTTGAGAAGATCAGCAACCATGCATAGTCCTTCACTTGGATGAAGTCGGCTGGCATGAAAAATGAAACAGAAGGCTTTCTGTTTGCTGCTCAGGAACAGTCACTTTCCACTCGAAAGTCACTGTGTGATTTTGCACAGCCATGGTACGACCCAGAATATGTAGAGGGCGTCATGGAAAATGATAAATACAAAGTTCTTTGGAATAGGCCCGTACACAGCCTCAGATCTATCCAGGCCAACAAATCTGATCTTGTCCTTTTTGATAAATCAAATGAAATAATTTATATCATTGAATTTTCTCTCCCTTTTGACACTAATGTGATGGACAAGATTCAGGACAAATGGCAACATGGCAAATATGTAGACCCAGCTTTCGAAATGTCCCGCTTGCACCTAAGTACCAAGTTGCCCGACTCCCTATTGTTCTCGATGCCTTAGGTTTGGTATCTCCCAATCTGTTGACTGACATTGGGAGAGTACCCGGGTTTGCTACCAGGAATACAGCCCTTCTGACAATCTGAGTAATGCAGAGCCTGCAGTGTTGGGGAGTCTTCACATACTCCGAAAAGTTCTTGGTGGGTTTGACTAGGCAGCATTTTCCTGGGAGAAGTTCCATTTGCTGTCTGGGCTACGTGTAGAGGGAGCAAGGGCTCTGAGCTGATCATGAGCCTAACCAGCCTGACTGTACCAGGATCACCCAAACCCTCTTTGTTGCATTTTATATTTTAATCTGATGCTAATAATATGTGCAGGTTCTTTATTTAGCTCCAACGTATACCATCCAATGGAAAGCCTCTATACCATGACACTCCTTTAGCTCATTCAACCAAAAAAGAATGTAGCACCATATATGAAATAGAATATAGGTCAATGAAATCAAATTCATATACACTATGTTACAGCTAAATGAGTTATATTCATGTGTGACACTAATAGTCCATGTGCCGTCATGCACCCCACGATATATGGTGAAGAAATCATAGACTTCACCCAAACCATACAGTTCACTGGGCTGTGTGTCTGCCTCTAGGGTCTATAAATGCTTGTCAACGTCGCCACAACAATCTTGTTCCAATTCTACCAGTGCATACTTTCTGTTTCAGATGAGTATAGTTGGTAAAAGCTAATCTTGATCTCAACCTTGCGTACCCAATTTGAAATAAAAGCGAGAAAACCCTTTCCATATTCATAAGAAGCCTGTGTTTATAAATCACTATAAAATAGTGGTGATACCAGGCGCTCGCGAAAAGGGGAGCGTATTCTGCCACACCGGTGGCACTGGTCACGAGCTTATGCAAAGGCACGTAAAGTGTTCACCTGTAAATACACGGGTACAAGTCAAAATAGGGAATGTTATCGGACATTATTCTTGTCACGGATGTGACAATGTTACTTATCCAACATATCAAGGTAAATAATATTGTAAAGATACATGCAAGGATCACCTTCTGAATAGAAGATTGACACCCTCCTAATGATATTCCATGAATTAAGTTAATTCATCACACATAAATTTCCCTTGCCGCGTCATTACGAAAGACGTTAAATTATGGCACATTGTTGCTATCCTGACTGACGCTCGGCATTAAGGGGATACAACAAAGGATGGTCGGCTCAGAGTCAGAATGTGTCTGAGTGAGGTAACACTGTTAGATGTGGCATGACATTACAAAGTGGCACACGGACATGCGCGCATGCAAGTCTCTGTATGAGTAAAATTATCGTGAACGTGACGTTAAACCTCATTTGACTTTATCTCACCTCTAAATATATACTCCAGTTACAGTGTACACAAGGTTTTTTACGTCTGGTTCACGGCATATAGCATAATTGTATCGATAATCAAGTGAGAAAGAACACACGCAAGCCCATTTAGGAAACACACCAACGGTAACAGTGTTAGAACCTACACCGAAACGGCGCTCCTAATTGTAATAAAGAAGTTTTTCATCCATATATCTTATCCTTACGTAGTACTCCAACTTCTAAATGCCTCTCAAAGAAGGTAAATTAGTATGTTCAAAGTACTGACATGTACCTCTTTTTTCTTCGTATGCAAGTAGATCCTAAACGTATTTACGTAGATAAAATTAACAAAACCTTTCTTCACTTATGAGTAAAACACAATAGTATAACTGCTTCGGAGATCAACGTATCTAGCAAATGTTTAATACCGAAACATTTCGCTACCTTTTTCTGCTTGCTCATTGATTTGATTATCAGTATATATTCATTCGGTGATATGTTATATGATTGGGCGAATCGTGACTGTATGTCTGTATGTGAAGCAGTCAACCTCTTATGGAACATCGTTGGAAACTTACTATATGGTTCATAGTAGCAGAAAGTGACCTTAAAGTAGTTTCCCGACTCCTCTGCCACGAAGCTTCCCTCCCTGTTCAACAAGCTCCTGTTGGAGGTCTGCACGAAGGAGAACACTTCCTCTGTCACCACCATGTCGGAAACTGCCTGGCACGCAACCTTTGGTGATGGCTGTTCATGTAGAAGATACAAGTGCAAATCAGTGATGGTTTCTTGAACAAGGAGTGAGGAGTGGAAACCTATATATCTCCGACCTCGATGTAAATATAAAGGAAGTCATCTTCCTTATGTTTTATGTCAGTTAACGTCCTGAAGGAGGTTTACCAACAGGCATGACGCCCTGAAGTAACATGCGACATTAATAACTCAAAATGGGTGTATTGGTTGATTAGAAAAAACACCTTCCAATATAAACATAACAAGATGATGTAAAGAGTTTCGGTTTTTAGAGGAATGAAACTGTGTAGAGAATGAAATTGGTACATGACCTCCTGATCCTGAACGCCAGGAGTCAGACTATTACGGGAAGTCTTTGGGCCGACCATTTAACATCATAGGGAATGTTGAAACAAATAATAATGTCCTCAGATTTTACAAAATGATATGCTGGATGTATTACAAAGCAAAATATTAGGAGTTTCAAAAATAGTTTGTTTCCTCCTTTCTAAGTGAGTGAGTGAGTGAGTTGGGTTATTATTATTCCAGTTTTATCACGGCGTGTCAGCTTAATGTGAGAGGAAAGCCCGAAGTGATGCAGGTCTCAGACGTTTACCACTTCTGTGAAACCCACAAGCACGGGTATGGTGTTGACAAACCTAGAAGCATAATCGGGGCGAACCGGGATTCGAACCCACAATCATAGGTTTATGGCGTGCCCAAGGGACGCAACTCTGCACAGCGAATCGCGGCGCCTAGGCCACCCGTGACCCCCTCCTTTCAGAGGAAAAGAAATTGTATGGTTTGAGCATCGAGTGAAAATATGCATTCTGTCGCAAACAAATAGTCCAGGAAAAATATGTTGTGGTTGGGCCCTTCATTACTTTATGAATATCATTGATACTACAGGTTGCAAACGTGAAATATTCATTCATGAATGTGTTGTAGCTATCCTTTTGTGATTCTATAATTCAGTACCTAAAATGCTGCTGGATGTATCGATCTTTACAAGTGATTACATTTGACCAATAGAAATATGCTATCAGGACTCAATGTTTAGCTGGATCGCCAAATCTCTGTTTTACCAACGTTTTGTTCCGAGTCGTCGTCCTGAGTATAACTGGTTTGCAGTCAGTAGTGTTACAATTGCAATGGACTATTCATTTGATGATGTGTTCTTTATCCCCTAATCCGCCCATTACGTTTACGGGACATAGTTCCTAAACCACTCAATAATTACTCTTATAAATCTCCAGTTACATCCGATGGTATTGTAACATATGAATGTTCCTTCCTCGAATTTAATGAAATTAAAATCTTTTATATTCATTGTGTCTTAATTGCAGCCGTTGTATCTCTAGCCCAGTGAGTGAACCACAGCTACAAAGGTGCTGATAAATCACAATGCTTTTAGGAATCTCTTTTTCAAGTACATGTTCGCGAACAAGAGAACACTAAAGTCCATGGAAAGAGTTTATGAAACATAAAATTGTTGATTATTATTTTCAGACTATAGACAAATTGTCCATGTCCTTTGAAGACAGAGATGTACATGTAACTATATCTATGATCACCACGTTTAGTGACAAATATTTGGACACAATTGAGTTTGTACGGTATTTTATGGAACCAAGTACAAAAGAGGAAAAGTTGTTAGCATTGATGCGTGGTTTTCGCATGTTCGCTTTATCTGTGGTATTATTTAATATCTTACTTATATCAAATTTACTGCTGAAATGTAACTTTATGTTAATATCAATATTAACAATTAGTACCTTCATCAAGTAGAACGGAAATGTTGAAGGTAGTGCCATTGTGTCGATGCCAGCGTCGTCCCTGCAGCACAGTGTCAACTGAATCCCCGGACCTGTGATGTCCCCGTCTGGAACCACGCCATCTGTTTTCATCAACACTCTGTAGTCGGGTAAGGGGAATAACCCTTCCTGGAATCCTGTGAAAATGGTTGCTTATATTTTGGGTACAATTATTGGATGAAGGGTACAACGTCATTGGGCAGAGTAAAAGGTTCAATATATCTATATATGGTTTATGGTAAATACCAGACAATCTGTGACAAACGTAATGAAAATACATTGTTCCAGTGTGTACATTAAAAATGGAAACTTCTCGTGAAATACCTGTAGAACAACTCTGAGGTTGGTAACGCGGATAATACGACCCATCGTACGGTAAACAGTGGACAGGATATTGTGTGTACAAATTAGGGCTTTGGAGTAGCAGTCAAACTTGATTGACACTGTGACACAATTATAAGCTTGCCCCATTCAGACGTTTGTCAAAGACTTTTTTAAATAGATATTGTTTAACTTTTAACACCAGGGTTGTCAATGTTTTTTTGGTTGGTCTGTTTGTACGCCGCACTCAGCAATATTCCAGCTATATGACGGCGGTCTGTAAATAATCGAGTATGGACCAGACAATCCAGTGACTGATATCATGACCATCGATCCACGCAATTGGGATCGATGACTAACTTCAACCAAGTCAGCGAGCCTGACCACCCGATCCCGTAAGTCGCCTTTTACAAGACAAGCATAGTCGCCTTTTACAGCAAACATGGGTTGCTGAAGACCTATTCTACCGCGGATCTTCACGTTTGGGTTGGCAATGTATATGATGTTGTCATGTTTGAAAAATACCTTGGATTAAAGGGTTGTTCCTTGGTTCTTCCATACGCCGTGCTTTATTTATTATGGGTTTGAGAAAGTTACATGGGGTATGGGCCATGAAGATGAGTAGTCATTAGAAAGATGTAATCAAACTTTTAAAAAACCCTTAATCTTTGTCTCACATGAAAATATTTATTTTTTAAAACATTCCTAAATGTCAATTATTACACTAAACACCTTTCTGTTATTCGGCAACAATCAACACAGGGAGCCACGTCCTGTCCTAGACTGGTTTACATGTCTAAGAGCGCTTGCCGCTTGGAGGCGAAGGGCACGGTACCAGTCAAGTTCTATCTGACCTATTTCCCTATACAGCATTTCGTTGTGGTGAATCGTTGACCCACTTCCGAGAAGCGGGTCTGTCTGTCGAGAGGGTCGGGAACAGGCATGTAGCATATCGCTATGCGGAAACGTTGACCCAGTTCCCGTGTAGCGAGATATTAGCACTTTTTGACACTGTGACTAACTGACGTGCAACACGAGTACACATATTTTCATTGGGGAGGTAACTCTGATAGAGAAATATCGTTCATGGTTAAAAATAACATATGCAATCACAACATTGTGGGATTTCAATTTTAACGATATCGACATGCTAAAAAAACCATACTGTAGCTTCTACTTTGAAAAGCTTAATTATGAAAACAATATTTATAACTTTAGCACTGTAGATATATCAACGCCAACAGTACCATGTATGCCGCTATGATTGTGTAAAAATAATACTTCATGTTCAAATGGACAAATTATCTTAACCATTCAAATAATTGTTATGGCCCTTGCTCCGTGCTTTTTCTCGAAAACTACTCAAGTTACATGAATGAAACTTGAGGTGGGAAATTGGTGCCGTAAATCAACTTCTTTACCGAGTTACCGTCCTTGATCCATGTTATTTTATTCTGATGCATAGTGTCAGAAATGGGGGACAGGTTTTCTCAGAAACTACTGAAGCTAGCTTAACTAAGAGATACTTATCACGACTGAAGTTTTCCAGAGAAGAGGCCTTTTGCGCGTATTAGTTTCACATAAAGAGAACATTTTTCTGATGATATAAAACGGCCCCAGTGCCTATCTTCTTTGTAGGCTTGATAGTAATCTTTACTATAGTTAATATTCACTAATATATTATCAAACGAAATTCTAATGTGCCCCATGGAGGGGGATAATAATGACATATTTTATAAAGGTGACATTATAACCATGGAGGGCTATCGTCTTCATGAAACCTAATATATACCTACCAGCCGGACACTGCCCTCCACTTGGTTTAAAGAAACAATACTGTCCTTCAGGCCATGAGCCGTTAACAGCTGAATCAGTCCTTGAACAGAAATTGAACTGGAAGTGTTGTTTGTGATAAGGCCCCAACATCCGGAAACGTTCTGGAAACCATTGTCGATAATTGGTTTTCATTGACAGCGTTAGGTTGATATAGCCAAGACTCCAGCCGTGGCTCTCCGGTTCCGGGCATCCAAACACCGTTGACAGTAGGCTATAGGAACCAGCTGGCCATTGGCTTAGTTTCATTTCTAAAATATTAAAAAATGTGTTGAAGGCAAACATAAACAATGTGCGGTATGCACATGTAATACGTTGAAGCAGAATAATTTACATTCCCTTACAATGACACGTTTGATAACTTTAATAGTTTGACAGGAAGTCCTCATTTTAATGATAGGCCAACTTAAGCTTACCAACACCACACAATATCCCTGCATAGCCTTGACGACAGATGCAACCACAGACATCATGGTCGGGGCTCCCGCCATTGGCACAGCTAAGTCCAGGACACCCTGTCATAATAAATGCTTTAATATTTATTACGATATCAATAAACAGAGCAACAGTAGTTTCAAAATTTGAGGAAAAATAACATTTGAATCTGATGGTAAATTCCTCATACGTCCATACATGTAACTGATAGATAATCCACGAAACAGCCTATTTACACAGTTCGTGGTGTCTCCCTCCTCCTTGTTATCCATTGGTGCAATGTCAAGTAGAAGCAATGACGTTCACGTCATTCCACAAGTTTACAATGATATCCCAGATCAGTTGTATTATTGTAATTCATCACCAATAGAGTCAGTGAGTATTGAGTGAGTATTGTGTTACGCCGCTTTTAGCAATATTCCAGCAATATCACGACGAGGGACACCAAAAATGGGCTTCACACATTGTACCAATGTGTTGAATCGCATCTGGGTCTTGGCATGACGAGCGAACACATTATCCACTAGACTACCCCACACCCTCATTAATAGAAGCAGGAAATATTTTTATACCAAATCAAAAGTGAATGCAAAGTACGAGATAAAGGTGTAACACTTACTTGAAATATCTTCGTTCGGGATAAACAAGGCCCCCGCACAGTATATAGTAACACAGAAAAACAGCCTCATACTTTGGGTCGTGAGCCAGGACAAACGGCATTTCTCTTTAAATACGCAGATGAACTAAAAGCTCGACCAATGACTTTGCATCTTTCAATGTTTTCGCTAGGCTTTAGTACAATGTGTCATCATGGTCATTACTCGGACAGTTCAATGAAACGCGAATGTCATTTAGAAATACGCAACATTGTATGGGACATTTCGTCAATTTTCCCTTATACTCTTTTTACGGTTGGCATTGAATATTTTGTAACTGTTTGCCATGGGTCGACACTGCAACAATATACCTTTCAATAGTACCCTTTCATAGCAAATAATTCAATTTGCCTGATGTGCTGAAAGAAATCTCATCTGTGGCATGACGCTCAAGGTTTATGCCATTCGAAATCTGGCTTGACACATTTACATGTTTGTCTTTAATCAAATACATTTCATGAAGGTTCATCCTAAATTGTGTTAGATACAAATCATTTAAACACTTTCCTGAATGAGGAATGGAATAGAAATAGTCATTACATTAGGTATCACACTGCGTTTTGATAGCAAAACCTTTTAACACAAACACTATGAGTTTTTCATTTAGACAAGAATACATTGCTCCCTGGTTTTCATTAATTATCAAATTCTAATAAAAGTGACTATAGCTATTTGATTGACGTGTGTTGTTGATAGATAGTTTCCGGGATAATAAAGTCTGATATTACAATAAAAACTCATCTCACACTGATTATAGCATCACATTGTACTTCGTTGACTGTGTCATCTCCAGTGATCACTCTAATGACTTCAATACAATCGATTTTGACATTAGCAATGAATATGTTTCCTCTTCCTCTTACGAAGTATCTACGCCAAACGTATATGCCATTTCATATGTGAATTATTATAATAAAGTATATACCGATATAGGATATAGAATTTACACTCCAAAAACAAGTCTTGAAATATAAATGTTATGAGCGGTCGTCAGAGGAAAGATCAGCTTTGAAATATGACTGCCAGAGATAGAACGGTTTCGGAACCAAGACCCTAAACAATACATGCGGGCGTTATAATTTCTCTGTGCATGTGGGCTGGGGGTTGAGGGTTGTGGGTTTGGGGTTTGAGGTTTGGGGTTGCTTTGGGGGTCATTCTTAATATTGACACTGTAGTGAAAGGTCGTCAAACCGCTCTGAGCCATTAGTATTGTTGCTTTCCATTATCTACAGTAACACGTAATCTCCTTACTCTTTCTCTCAGTATCTACGGATACGGAGAACGCGAGAATATCCCTTACATTATTCCGAACTATGACCTTTGGAAACACCCTAAATATGCCCAAAGTGCGACAACGCGAGATTTGGTCATCGCATCTCGCGATCTCGCTTTTTCATGCTGTTTTTAAATTTTAATTTCTGTTAAAGGTCGAGAAAACAAGATTGTGACATTTTTACATGAAGCAAAATCTCGAAATCTCAATTCGACTTGTCAAATCAGGTCACAAAAAGGGGAAACCTCTGAGGTGCGGTGGGGTTAAATCGTACGCCAGTCATCGGTGAAGACCCTGGTTCGATTCCGCACGTGGGCACAATGCATGCAACTTCCACAAACAAATTCCTATGTAATACACAGTCCTCGCCCATTGTTACAGTTCGTAAGTAATTTAAATTGAACCCCTTAAAATGATGAGTACACGTTTACCATAACACATTGTAATTAAAGTCCAAAGTAATAACATCAAAGTGTCCGTGTTACTCATAGAAACAATATTCAGTTCGGACATGAAATCGTTAGGTAATATCCATATTGTTAGTAGTTGTTATACATCTATATACTACTGGAATTACTACATCGATCCAGGGGCGGCGCAAGTTTTGCCCTCGGATGGTAGAAAAGTGGGACGATGGAAGACAAAATTCCGGGGTGAAGTTTAACAAGATAGCAGCCATGTTTATTGTTGCAGATTGCTGGATATCATGCTCAAAGTGCACTGAGAATTATTAAGGAAAATGGAGCAGTGTGCACTCGATTTATATACTCAGCTCCCGGGGAGTGCTAGATAGTAATCTAATCCAGGCAATCTAGGCCATTTTTGCACTCAACTTGGAACAAATTGCAACAGAATATATTTCACCACAAGGTATTTCTACAAGGTCCCAAAAACATGATGCTAAAAGTCCCAGGCAATCCCAGTTTGGGAAATATGTCTAATTTGCATCATCAAATATGGCCACCAATTATCAATATATCTTCCACATGTAAGATGAGGTTCAAGGTTTTGATGAAAAAACATGTGTTGTATTGCGAAATAGCCGTATTATGTTTCTAAAAAGATATTCACAACTACTGAACGTTTTCGACTATTGACAAATCTACAACAATTCAAGATGGTCGACAAGTTGCCTAAACGTGTGTTTAAACTGTTGAATCTGTTAACTCTAAAACAGTGTGCTAGGACTTACATGCATATAACTTGGCACACTAACTCACTGAAGTATAGTTAACACTTTTAGATAGAAACTCCGTCACCAGAGCCCCTGGTGGCCCAATATTCCAAGATGGCCGCCAAGAGTTTGATGGCTTGACATAGAATATCAATACGCTGTTGGTCTCTGATGACACATCTGAGTGTTTTGAACTTCTACATTGGCGTAAACAGACCCAAGCATGCATGTAGAATACTAAATCATTTGCATAAATCCAATATAACAACCTAATATCAATATTTATTTCTTAAATGACATGTTTTGGTGAGTTTAAATATCAATGTTGATTGTTATTGTCTGAATCTACTTATTAACATGACAATGAATGCTATAACAAGTTTCGTTTTCATATATGTAAATACTTGTTGGAAAAAAGTATGACCTATATCAGGTCCTCTCAGAATTAGCCCAAACCAGTTGTTTCACAAGAAGTCAAAGAGTTATCTCCCCTGTAGTTAATTTGCGGAAATTCAGTATAACCACCAAAAACCAATATTTGAATATAAATCTGAAACTTTTTATCCACTGCTCCTTCCGTCACATGATTGTGTGATTCATGAACAATATTACGTGATGAAAAGTGGAAAAAATGTCACGGTGAATGCTGTAGCTTGACGTCGCAGGGTCATTAAACACATGTACCTCGAAAGTCTCAACAGGTTTGTCATCCCCTGAGAAGTCTGGTAACTGTTTAGGTACAGGTTGTACCACGGTATCCCCGCACACAGAACTTCAAGTTAGACCATTTTCTGGTAGTGGACATAGGGGCTGTGGTATCTTGCGGCTGAAGAGGTTGGTTGACGAGTTGACGAGTTTATGGCTCTGCGTGTGATCAATTATTCGTCACCTTCTGCCCCAAATCACTTGTATCATAAGCTATGCAGTCCTTCCACCTTACATCTGCGATTTAAAGACACGTGTTCACCAGCTTCGGTGATGACTTTTCATCCCCAGTTTCTTCTGTTTGGCTGAAATGGTTAGTCTGATGGCAGAACAAGGCACCATTCATGATCTTCTTCAGTGCTGGACCCGTTCCCAAGCCAAACAGGCGAGAAGTGGTGCCACAGCCAAAAATTACATGTAAACAGAGCACATGCTCACATACTTCACTGCCCATCAGCCACATTGTTTGCTTCATGCACCAAATCCTGTTCATTCTTGAAGCTTGCTTGGGTTCTGGTGCCAGGAACAAGTCATGTGCTTCCTTTTCAACATGATGATGAGTGAGTGAGTATGGTTTTACGCCGCCTTTAGCAATATTCAAGCAACATCACGGCGGGGGACACCAGAAATGTACCCATGTCGGGAATCGAACCCGGGTCTTCGGCGTGACGAGAGAACGCTTTAACCACTTGGCTACCCGACCGCCCCACATGATGAGGAAGGAGGCTAAGCAAATCTGTGTCATCTCCCACCAGGACAGTGTCTGTTTGTCTTTGCAGATGTGACATCGTCTTGTTTTGCCAGCTCTCTCCAGTTTATCACCCAGATAGGCAATAAAGTGCTGTTTGTGTTTTGCTTTGTTCAAGAATAGACCGATCCAGTCCCGACCGATAAGCCCCGCCCACAAGCTGCCGTCCTCGTTTTAAGCGTTAGGGGGGACAACCACTGGCTATTCGCTATATGGCGTCATAGTCGGCGAAACTTAATTGCGCGGGCGATGAATTTG